TGATTAGCTGGGTGTGGTGGCTCACGCCTGTAATCCCAGCACTCAGGAGGGTAAGGCAGGAGGATCCCTGAGAGTTCGAGGCCAGCCTGGGCTACATAGTTCAAGGCCAGACTGAACTACACAGCAAGACCCTGTCTCAAAACAAACAAACAAACAAAAAGATTAAATCCCCGAGGACAATATAGTACACTTCAAAGAAAACACTACCTGGAGAGAATACATTTTGCAACAGTAAAAGCTAAGACACTCCAAGGTAACTTCTAAGGTAAAATAATGATCAGCATGATTACCACTGAAACAATAATCATTATAGCTCCCCGAAGCTCCTGAAGTGTCCTGTGTAGAAAAAGAAATCCAAACTGCCACTCTGCAACAGCCACCTTGGCTCTTGCCTGCCTTTTGGCCTTGTGCTATTTGCACTTTCCAGGAAATTCTGCCTGTTTTTACAATGCTTTTTTGTCTGAACCGAATTCTTTCTTCAAGAACCCAAGATTCCCAATGAAATGTATGCATACATTTAAAAAAGAATACAAAGACCAAGGAACTCTCTCGCCAGTCCATAGTTGGAATATGGTTTAACTATAAAATGACAAAGTATAATTGTATATATTTATGGAATATAAGGTGATGTTATGATTTATAAAATGGAATGATTAAATGAGGCTATTTAGAATATCCATCAACTGAAATATTTACCATTTTTTGTGGTGAGAACATTCAAAGTTTACTCTTAGCAGTTTTAAAATCCACATACAGTAGTCTTCCAACTATTTACAATTTTGCTTTCCAAGATTTCAAAATGCTTGGAAAATATTAAATAGAAAATCCTAAAAATAAACAATTCAGGAGTTATTTTTGTTGTTATTATTTGTCTTGGGATACGGTCTCTCAAAGTTGCCCAGGCTGACCTTGAACTTGGGATTCTCCTACCTCACCCTCCCATGGAGCTGGGGGTTATAGGAATGTGCCACCACACCCAAAACAATTCATAGGTTTTAAATTGCACACCATTTGAACTGTGTGATGAAATCTTATGGTGTCCCCTCCATCCTGCCTGGGATGTCAATGTTCTCCATCCAGAATGTCATGTTTTACACTACTCTTACCCATGAGCAACTCAGTGGCTGTCTCAGTTATCAGAACAACTGTCCTGGTGTCCCTATGCCTGTGTTCAAGCAATCCCTATTTTACTCAATAAGAGCCCCCAAACCCAAGAGTAGTGATGCTAGCTTGGCATGGTGCCCCATTCCTATAATCCTAGCAATCTGGGAGGCCAACACAGAAGGACTATAACTTTGAGCCTCACCTAGACTCAAAATTAAAAACAGGCTGGGTGTATATAGCTCAGTGCAACAGTGTCTCTGGGTTTAATGCCCAGGACTTAAAACAACAATAACAACAACAACAACGAAACAACAGTATTAGCTTTCAATTTTTATGAAATATTCAGAATAAAGTTTTTTTTGGTACTGGGGATTGAACTCGGGACCTTACGCTCAGAATAAATTTTGATTAAATAAGCTAAATATTTAGGGCTATTTAGTGTGCAACAGTGCAGACTGTTGGATGGTGGTAAAGAAATGTCAACCTCCCAGTAAATCTAAAAGATGAAGGAACAGGACTTTAAACTGAGTGTACTTCTTTTTTTTTTTTTTCTTTTGGTACCGGGGATTGAACTCGGGTCCTTGCGCTTGCACAACAGGTGGCAAAACCACTGAGCTAAATCCCTGGCCCCTGAGTGTACTTCTTTTCAGGTCTCCTCCCCACACACAAAAACTCCCTGGACATTAATGACTTCACTCACTCTAATTGGCAGATGATTACATTTCCTGACAGGCTGGCCCTCACCCCAAAAGGGTCAGCTTCTCTCTATACTGATAAACACCCCCAGGACACACAGTTCCCACTCCCAGCAGATACTGAGGCAGCTGCACCAGTCTAATCCCTCCAGCGGTGTCCGCACTGGGCATTGCAGCACTTGTAGAAGGTGGTCATCGGCTCATCTGCAGAGCGGGTCTGAAGTTGCATGAAGTAGGCACGAGGATGTTCGCATTTGGGACATGGTTCTGGCAATGAGAAAAGTCAAGTGACCCACATTACACAAAAATGACGCTTGTGAAGAACACACCCCTTAAGAGTAGGTGAAGACCAACTTGTTCAGCTGGTCTCCCTTGACACTAGTAAATCTAGTGACATCAGCCTTTCATGCACTAACACTGAGGAAGTCAAGGAGACCTGCAACTTTAAAACACTCCTCTCCCCTCCCCAGATTCCTCTTTTCTTTCAAATTTGATTGAAGACCAGATGGAAACAACAGATGGTGACCATCTCAGTCTGTTCTGTGCTACTGTAACAAAATACTTGATACTGGGAAATAGATAGAGGCTGGAACAATTTTCTTTCCTTTTTTTCTTTCTTTTTCGAGATAGGGTCTTGCTATAGTCCCAGACTGGCCTTGAATGTGGGGACCCGCCTTCCAAGTAGACAGGAAACACAGGTACACAGCACTCCCACCCCAGCTAAAACTAGAATAGTTTTGTTCTGTTGCTTTTTTGGAGACAGCGTCTCTCTACGTAGCTCAAGCTGGCCTTGAGCTCACTATGTAGTCCAAGGTGGCCTCGAACTCGTGGTGATCCTCTTGCCTCAGCCTTCTGAGTGCTGGGACTATAAGCATGCATCACTGCATTCAGCAACTACAATAGTTTTGAAGTGAATGCTGGAAAAAGTTTGTTACTGTGAATGGAACATTAGGTTTCTGGGAAGGACTCAAAACAAAAGAGCTATAAGGGCTGGGGATTTAGCTCAGTGGTTTCGCCGCCTGCTGTGCAAGCGCAAGGACCCAAGTTCGATCCCCAGTACCAAAACAAAACAAAACAAAAGAGCTATAGGGAAAGCTACTTCTTCCTAGAGACTGCTTAAGTGGCTCTAAACAGAATACTACAGAAAGACCATTCTGAGGAGGTCTTAAATGGAATGAGAGTATCTTGATGGAAACTGGAGGAAAAGCCACCCAGGGATTTTGTAGAAAGTAGAACTGAAGAGGACTGAGGCCCTGTGTACCTTGCAGCCCATTGCACAGGGCTGCTGCAGGTCTGTTCCCTGCATTCCCACAATGCTTCTTCACCAGACCTCCACCAGCCCCTCGACCTTGGACTTCTTCCCAGCCTCCAGAATTTCTAAATTATCCAATCTGTGGTATTGTTATAGCAGCCCAAAGGGACTAAGATGGTACCTCATGGATGGTGTGTATTTTGGGGTCAACACCAGATAGATTCTCCTAGTAAGGGTATCACAGCTCTCTAAGCAATAGACATGTGGTATCTCATTTTCCCAGTGGATGACTATGTATATGAAACCATTTTAGCAACAGCTCCTCCAGCTGCTTTAACACAGTAAATTTATATGTTTAATTTTAACTTTTTTTTGGTACTGGGGATTAAACTCGGGGCCTTGCGCCTGCAAGGCAGGTGGCAGAACCACTGAGCTAAATCCCCGGCCCTAATTTTAACTTTTTAACATAGATTTATATGTTCCTCTTTAGGGGGAAAAGACAGCATTAATCATGAGTTAACCACTCCCCCTATCAAAACAGGTTACACTCTAATCATTTTTTTTTTTTTTGGTTTTTGAAACAGGGTCTCACTATGTAGTTTAGGCCGGCCTCAAACTCAAAGCAATCCTCTTGCTTCAGTCTTCTAAGTTCTGAGGTTTACAGGCATGTACCATCATACCCAGCAAAATAAACATATTTTTAAAAGGGCTAGGATATAGCTCAGTAATAGACCACTTGCATAGCATGTGCAAGACCCTGGGCTCAATCCCCAGTACTGACAGGGGAAAAAAAAACAGGTTGTAAAGGGCCCTTCTCTTTTGTTCTCTTTCACATCTGTCTATCAAATATTAATCAAGACTTAAAATATGCCAGGCGTGGTAGCACATGCCTATAATCCCAGCACTCCGGGAGGCTGAGGCAGGAGGATCACTGTGAATTTGAGGCCAGTCTGGACTACATAGCAAGACCTTGTCTCAAAAGAAAATAAACAACAAAAAATTGTTTATTTTATCCAACTCACACTTTAATCCTTCCTGGTACTAACTTTCTAAAATCCATATTAAAATAAAAATACTTTTTTGATGGCTGGGAATTTAGCTCAGTGGTTCCGGCACCTGCCTCAAAAGCACAAGGTCCTGAGTTCGATTCCCAGTACCAAAAATAATAATAATAAACAAATACATAAATAAATACAGCATAACAACCTTAAAAAAATATTTTTTTGTTTCTCCAATCTCTGACTTGTTTCTGATCACTGTTGCTGTCATTAGAGCTGTTACCTATATAGTGCTTCTTATATGCCAAGCACTGTGCAACTCACTTCTCTCACAAGCTTTGCATATGACTGAGCCAGAGATTTCAAGAGATGCAACCAAGGGCCTATAACAAGAGATTACCTGAGACTCTAACTCCAGAGCTTATACCAATATTGTCTGTGTAACAAATTTTATATAATAAATTATTATTCGCCGCCTGCTCTGTAAGCACAAGGACCCGAGTTCGATCCCCGGTACCAACAATAATAAACTAAAGAAAAATGCACTTCCCATTTTTAAAAGCCTGCATCACACAAATACATCACCGATTCTGACATGCAGTGGTATAGTCAACAACACCACAGTTGTCCACAGCTTGGTAATGGAAAAGGCCTTCCTTCTTTTTTTTTTTCTTAAATTCTTTTATTGGTACATTTTAGGTATATGCTTACATTTATCATTGGGTGCTTGTACCTGTACATGATGTATCTTAGTTCTTATTTTTTCCCCATTACCTGTGTGCCCTTTACCCCCTCCACCCTTTCCTATTTACACAGACTTCGTTTCCATTTAAAGGCCTTCCCTCTTACCTGCAGTAGAGTCAACATTCTCCCAGGCTGCTGATCCTCCAAGTACATCATCCACTTCTTTCAGCTTTGGATACTTCCGGTTTGTTACCTAACAAAAACAAACCTTCAGTCTCCAAGTCAGTGAACAGCACAAACATAAGCCACTAAACTGCAACTATCCCCAAATGTCTCCTTAACTTCTTTTCCTCCACAAAAAGTGAAGAGATGCCAAATGAACAAAGTTCCTACTCTTGAGAGCAACACACCATTGGAATGTAGAGGTTCCACTGGTATGTTCCCCAGGCAGAAGAAACAGGTTCAGCTGTCAAACACCTCTGTAAAGACTGGAAGAAGCACCAGAGGAGCAGGAGGAATGGCTTGGATGTGACTTGTGCTCCTCCCATACCTCTAACAGGATACCTTTTATCAGATAATACCCTCCCATACCTCTTATGAGATGATAACCCAAAATGAAAGAAACAAAGAGGGGCCGGGGATTTAGCTCAATGGTTTCATCACCTGTTGTGCAAGCGCAAGGACCCGAGTTCGATCCCCAGTACCAAAAAAAAAAAAAAGAAAGAAACAAAGGGAAGCCAATCGGTACCACTTAGCTGGGTAGCCCAGCCACTCCCAGGAAGGAAATTTCAAAGCAGGTCACACTTGATTTCTTTCCCAAATTTGATCAGACATTCTGGAAATTTCAAGATTACATAAAAGCTTGTCTGCCCGTAGTTTCATACTCTAAAACCACACCGCTGTGAGGTGCAGTAGGCAAACATTAAGAATGAGGGAGCAGTAATGTGTCCTAATTTCTAAAAAGTAAAGCTGGATTATAAGGAAAAATTACAAGCTATGTATAATACAGTGTGCATCATTCACACCTACAGACACTTAATATATTCTAGATACTATTCTGTGTTGAGCCTAGAACACATGAGAAAACAAAACAGAAATTTCTGCCCTCCTAAGCTTATATCCTAATATTAACAAGGCACACAAACTACCAAGTACATTAAAAAGTTACAAGTCCCATGGAAAAAAATAAAACAAGGAAGGAAAATAAACTGGAAGGAGAGGCTACAATTTTAAACGGGGTAATCACAAGTAGGACAAGACCAATGAGCAAGGTGGCTATCTAGGTCGGAAAATAACATGTGCAAAGCCCTAGTAGTGCCATGTGCACGATGGCAGATCTTCCAGCAGGCCAACGTGACTGGGGCTGGGTCAAAAGAGTTAAGAGGAGCCACACAAGAACCTGAAATCAGACAAGCAACATGGGAAGCGGGTCTGGAAAACGCTGGGGAACTGCTCTACGTTTCCAAGCACAGCTCGGACTCTGTCGAGGCTCTATCACTATCACTCCGGCCACTGTTACGAATACCGCGAAGGGAGCCGGCACGGGAGTGCGGGCCTGATGGAGAGGTCCCCGATGATCCAGGGGGTGGCCACGGCCTAGGTAGGGGGGACAACACCGAGGGAGGAATGGCTGGACTCCAGGTGGGTCCGAATGGAGAGCACCCAGGATCCACCGCCGGAAGGAGTGGTGAACACGCAGACACGGGCCGACTCAGGGTCGCGGGGAGGGCGGCAGCGTAGGATGCAGCAGCCGCGCGGGCCCCCAGGTCCCACCTTGCGGGTGATGTTGTGCACGTAGGGGCACGTGTTGCAGGCAAAGCGGTGACAGCGCTGCCCCTCCTCCACGATCAGCCCATTCCCACAGCCCGGGCAGAAGAGTAGCATGGCTAGGACTCCACCGCGTCACACTCCGGGAGCTCACCCACACCCACAGCTTACGTAGACAGCATGAATCCTACTCCTCCAACCCCTTCGCAGTCCGTGCGCTCCCAGCTGGCCTTGCGGCAGGCGGTCCCGTATTTCTCATTGGTCATTGCTGCCGCCCGCCCCTCGGCTCACCAATGGTTGGACTGTCTCACCCTGGCTGGCTCAGGGTGTGTGCGTGCTGCTCTGACCCAGCTCCCCCGCCCCAGCTGGATGGAATCAGCCGGGAAACCAGAGGCTCTGGAAGACTCGGAGGTCGCGTGTGGATCGGAGGTGCTGGAGGACGATGAAGATGAAGAGGAGACGCTGCCTCACTCCGAGGCCGTGGACGTGTTCCAGGAGGGTCTCGCCATGGTGGTGCAGGACCCGCTGCTTTGCGACCTACCGATCCAGGTACGCAAACTGCCCTATCAGAGGACGGGCCCCTGGGCGGAGTGGGGACTCTAGAAGCCGCTCTGGGGGTAAACCGCATTCGCACCCGGTGAAGACTACAGCCTCCGAGTACTGAGTACTGAGATTACAGGCGTGGGCTACCCCGCCCGGTTGACTTCCTCCCCACCACCTGGTGCTGGGGATTGATGAGCTGCATCCCCTACCAGCTTCTACTTTCTTGAATGTTTTATTGAAGCTTTTTATCTTAACTTCTTAGTCCCCTGTGATTTTTGCACACCTGCGTTACTCTAGGTCGGAAGGCTGGCTTGAATGCCAGTGGAGGGAGAACTGTTAGCCCCAGCGTTCCTCCCTCTATTCAGTTCCATCCTCATGGGGGTTCATTCTCTTCAACTGTTTCTTTGCCCTTCTTTCCACAGTCTCTGTCCTCTGGATAGTATATATAAAAATGTGGAGAGCTGGGGTGTAGCTCAGTGGTAGAGCACTTGCCTAACACAGATGAGGCCCTGAAATCTATCCCCAATACGGCCTAAATAAGTAAACAAATAAATGGATAGGAGGGCCGGGATTTAGCTCAGTGGTTCTGCCGCCTGCCTCGAAAGTGAAAGGTCCCGAATTCATCCTGGTACCAAAAAATAAATAAATAGGGTACTAAGAAACTGAGAAAACCCTAACATACAGGCAACAGCTTATTCTCCTTCTTACCGTTCATAAAAAGAGGCATTACTTTTTGGCCACTGTCAGCTTGTTTTTCTTTGTTGTTTTCAGTGATAGAGGGTCGGGGTTCCCACCTCAACCTATGGTCTTTTCTAGGTTACTTTGGAAGAGGTGAACTCCCAGATAGCACTAGAATATGGCCAAGCAATGACAGTCCGAGTGTGCAAGATGGATGGAGAAGTAATGCGTAAGTGCTGTCCTCTTCCTTTTATCCCTGACCTTGCTCCAGGACAAGATACTATTAGAGCTAATCAGTGAGAAACTCAGGGCCCATGCCCAGAGGTATTGGGACAAATATAAGCCCATCCTGACCAACAAAGCCTCAGAGCCAGACAAGTTCTGGATTCCTCTCCTGCTGTCAGAGGCTCTGGCTACGGGTCCCCACATGGGTCTTCTCCCACTTGTGTCCATTCATGGTTGCAGCTGTGGTCGTAGTGCAGAACGCCACGGTCCTGGACCTGAAGAAGGCCATTCAGAGATATGTGCAACTCAAGCAGGAGCGTGAAGGGGGCATTCAGCACATCAGCTGGTAAGTGGAGAGGCGGCCCCTTCACTGCACCCCTTCCTGGGGCTGGGATGGGGACACTGAGGGAAGCAGCTCCACATTTGCACAGCACCAGTCCTCTGCTACAGAGTAGTGGCTGCAGTGATGACCATGCATGAGAGCATGCAGATGGGCTCCTACCTTCACTGTTCTTTCTAAACTTATTCTGTCATCAGTGTCACCCCCCCACACACACACACTACTGGTTCTTCACTTGGGGGCACCTTAGGCCATTACTATGTCTGAAGTGGTCTCCTAGTTAGGGAGTATCCTTCCAGCTAAGTCTCACTACTGTTGCCTATTTGATCAGCCCAGTCACTCCAGCTGCCCTCCTTGCAGCTGCCTCAGTCCTGGTGTATACATTGTGCAAGAGAAAAGCCCAGCTGCCCAGGGGCCCATAGGGCTATGTACCTCAACCCCTCATTCCACTGCTCAGTTCCCCCTGCTTTGGAAAGAAAGTGGTTTATCTGAGTCTCCCTCTTGCAGGTCCTATGTGTGGAGGACATACCATCTTACCTCTGCAGGAGAGAAGCTCACAGAGGACAGGAAAAAGCTCCGAGAGTAAGTTCAGGCCATGTCTTGAACTCTAGAGGGGCATGTAGTGTTACCCTCTAGTGCCTTGTGCTCTGCCAGAGGGTGCAGCAGGAACATCCTTGACAGCACTAAAACTCTCCCACAAGGAGCTTCTACTAGGTGAACTGCAGGTCGAAGGGAAGCTCCAGGGCCCCTGCTGATTCTCACAATGCTGAGAGGAGGGAAATGAGAGCAGGCATGAGGTAAAGGCTGCCTGCTAGTGCTTTATGACCTGGGGGTTAGACACACCACCTCTTGGCCTTCCTCAGTACCACACTCATCCTCACCTGGCCTTTCTTGGTCCTTCACAAGCCTTGGGTGGGGGAAATCATGATCCTTCCGTGGGTCAGACATTACCTTTCCTTTTTTTTTTTTTTCTCCAGTTACGGTATCCGGAATCGGGATGAGGTGTCCTTCATCAAAAAGCTGAGGCAAAAGTGAACCTCAGACAAAGACAACTTTATTCACAGTGGTTGAGCTTTTCCCAGCAAGATGGATCCCTCCAGACATTATCTTCCTCATAAAAAGGATGTTGGGGTGACTACATCCGCAGTGTGCCCAGTGGGAACTGTCAGCACGAATCCTGGGTCCTTTAGGAATAGGTCAGGGCGAGCCTCTGTTTCTGCTTTTCTGTGAACTTGACCTGACCTCTTCCTGGACTTAAAAACCCTGGTCACAGGGCTGGGGCCCTGGCCTTGTGTGCACAATAAAGCTGTATGCTTCATATTTTGAAGTTAGAAAGCTACAGAACCCTGTGTAGGAGAATGTGGATTTGCCCCATCATGGAGGGGAGGTTATGGCAGAGAACTGGCACATGTTGAGTCTTAAAGTCCAAGAGACCACACCTGAGTCCTGTGGCCACATCATGTGCCTGTTACCATGATCTCCACAGCAAGGATTTATAAATAAACACTAAGAAGCTATTTTATGTTTATGCTTGTGAGGAAACAAGGGCCTATATTCCAGATCCTGCATTGGCAGTTAGTATATGACACGAGCGTACCTGAGCCTCCAGCCTCCACCCGTAGGGTTCCCTAGAGCAGCAGCTTCCCTAAGCTCAGTGGAAAGGGAGGCAGCGTGGGGTAGAAACAAGCTGCAGGAGACAGAGGTGGGGTGCTTCCCACTGTGGGTGTGGGGAGATGTGGCAGTACCTCCCTAGGTCTGTCCTAGCACTGGCTTACCAGCCCCTCCAAGAAAGGGAGGCAAGGTCCACCCACCCGGCTGCAGGCCTTTCCTCTTGGAAGAGGTAAGAGTCTGTGGTTGCATTTATTCTGAGATTGTAGGTCGGAGGCCAGGGCCTTCAGGGCCTCCCTCCACTGCCCCAGACAGAAATCAGGAAGGAGGAGACAGCCCCAGTTAAGTTAGTGGCAGCTAAAACGCTACCAGTCCATTTATTGGCCACATGAAGTGGTCGTCAAGGGACTAGTTAGAAGGTTATCATGGAAATTAGTGTAATAAATGCCTGGCAGTATAAAGGGTTCAACAAAAATGAACAAGGCACAAGAGGTCTGTATCCAGAAAATGTGAGTCCCCACATAGATGAGGCAGTCCTGCATGCCTGTGAGGCTAAGGGTGGTCATGGCCACCAGCGCCCACAGCCAGCTTAGTGGAGCTGAGCATCCAGCTCATACTTCTCACAGAACTTGTCGGTGAAGGGGATGCAGGTGAGGAACTCGCACCACTCACAGCGGACGGGATAGAAGTAGAAGAGGATCACCAGGCCAGCCAGCAGGCCCAGGAAGACTGCCTGGAAGATGATAATCTGGCAGCGTTTGCGGTACAAGTCAAACTTGCCGAAGCTGATGTAGGGCAGGAAGGCAAAGGAGAGGAAGAGGCCACTGATGAAGCCTGAGATGTGGGCAAAGTTGTCAATCCAGGGTAGCAGCCCAAAGGCGAAGAGGAAGAGCACCACAGCCAGCAGCTTGAAGAAGGCACGCCAGGGCCGTGCCAGGATCTGCCAGCTCTGGAAGAGCTCCACGAAGAGGCAGGCCAGGATGCCAAACTGCGAGCCGGCTGGGCCCACCTGGGGGCAGTGGCAGTGACAGTGGCTGTGAGCCAGCCAGGCCAAGCAGCCTCCCTGGGTTTGGTTTCATCTTCCCATCCCACCTCCCTAGGCCCAGAACACACTGGGACTGAGAACCAATGAAGATTCTCCCAGGCTGGGCACTCGTGCTCAATACAAACAGGGTTCATGCAGGGCCATAGGCACATGTGGAGGGTCCCCACCCAGGGAGGCAGCCTTACCTCCGCCCTGTACGGCAGGAAGATGGCACTGGCCAGGTTGCCAGTGATACCACTCAGAAGATAGATGATGGCTATGCGGTGCCAGCCTGCCAGCTTTTCCAGGTCACGCAGGACAGTCATCTGGAAGCAAACGGACACCAGGCAGTGCAGAATCCTGTGGGTGGTAGAGGGTGTAGGATGGGAGCACTCAGCAGGGATAATGGCTTCATTACCACCCGCCACCCACTCCTGGGATCCCTGAGACCTGCTGCCCAGCCCAGTTTCACTTGCCCAGCGTGCAGGAAGAGGGACAGCCACAGACGGTAGAACTGGTCAGGCACCTCGGGGTTGAGGAAAGGCAGGAGACCACACACATCATCCATGCAGTGCACCTGTGCAGAGTGGCCAGTCAGTACCTGAAATAACGGGACAAGGGGAGGGACATGCCCTCAAAGCCTACCTGAGAGCAGAGTGTGGCCTCCTCATGGAAGTAGCCTCTCATGAAGTCACAGTACTCCCGGGAGGTGATTTCACACCTGGAAGGTCAGGCCAGGGTTTGGAGGGTGACACCCTGCGACAGGGGGACTGCTGGGGTCCAAGGACAGAGGCATCTGCTCAAACTATCCAGGCCAACATTTCTGACCCACATACATTCCCACTTACCTTCGTTGGCCCTTTCTCACCCCACAACCCTGTTGAATCTTGAGTTATTTCGGGGCTTGGTGTTTTGTCGGGGGTGGTTACTGGGGATTGAACCCAGGGACACTTTACCACTGAGCTACACCCCTTTGTTGATTTGGATTTGGCAGCGCTGGGGATTGTACCAGGGCGTTGCACATGCTAGACAAGCACTTTACCACTAAGCTGATTCTCAGGACCTTGTATTTTGAGACAAGCTATTAAGTTACCCAAGCTGGCCTCCAGCTTATGATGCCCCTGCCTTGGCCTCCTACGTGGCTGAGATTACAGGTGTGTGCCACCACACAAGCTAACACTTGGTGAGAGAGAAGCATGCAGTGTAGGATAATGATGTGAGCCCAGAAACACCTACACTGCCCACCTACCTGCCCTTGGTGCCAATGCAGCAGGGCCGGCCCGTTATGACACAGTCCATGTGAGGATGATTGGTGTGGTTCCCAGCACTGTTTTTGGTGCAGATCTAGGTCACAAATAGGGATGAGCTAGGTCACAGCCTCCCCCAATTCTTGGCCCTACACTCAATTTGGGGGCTGAGAGGGGAATGTGATAGGGTAGAAAACGGGCCTTCCTTAACTTCAGCAAACCACCATACCCTAAAGCCTCAGCTGGGCCATCTGTCAAGCTGGAAGAGTATTGTCTGACCTTCCTGATCTCTACCTAGATCTCTTGCCCTACTTGCCTAGAGAAAGCCTTACTGGCCAAAGGCCTGAGACACAGCAGCTAAAACTGGGTGGGCCCACGGTGGGAGTCTCTGGCATCACCAATGGGTAGAGTGTCACCTCCTAACCCATACAACAAGCATGACATCCAAGAATCCCCCCACTCCTTCTTACCGGCCACTTGGTGATGTCTTCTGGCCACTCATGGGGATCCTCAGAGGAGGGCTCATCACACACCCTGCATGAGCCCAGTACATGGTCGGAGCCTGCTCCAGCCCCTGGAATTGGCACCCTCCCACCCAGTCCACAATAAGGGGAGCACCTAACCCCTCAGGGAGATGTGGTCAAAGGCAGGTAAGAGGACAGCCAGCAGGACTAACCTGGGGTCTTGGTGGCAGACAGAGCCAAACTCCCTCTTGTGACCAGCAAGGTCTGGGGCGCTGGGATGCCTGGGCCACTTCACCCACACTGCCAGCGTGGACTGCAGGAACACAGGGTCAGCCCTGGTCAGAGCCCAACCCTTGCCCAGTTCAGTCAGAACAGTGTGGGGTCTCAGAGTCAGGAGTGAAAGCAAAGCCACGAAGCTCCTCCTCTAACTCCACCACTTCACCCCCGAGTTTACACTCCTAAAACACACTCACAGTCAGAAGAGATTCTGTTACAAGGAGTTCAACAGCATAATTCCTACTAGTTTAAAAGCAGCCTTTGTGTCCTATATCAGGAAACATGAACTATGCACCTCCATATCAGATGCTAAGATCTCGGAAGGCTGTGGCACTTACATTAACTTTAAGAGGCACACACACAGGACAGAAGCCAAACCAAGACCAGATAAAAAGGCAACTAATCATCTAAGGGAACTAGGGACAGAGGAGGGCAGGAGTGAGAAGCCATGACAGCCACAGGCAAGGCCTAGTGTGGCCAGCAGGTGTGATGCATCAAAAGCCAGGGTGGCAGAACATGGTGGTGCATGCCTATAATCCCAGCACTTGGGAGGCTGAGGCAGGAGGACTGCTGCAAGTTCAAGGCCAGCCTGCACTACACAGTGAGTTCAAGGCCACCTTGACAGTGAGATGTTATTTAAAAAAAAAAAAAAAAAAAAAAAAATCAGGGTAAAGTCTGGAGACACTGAGAGCCAAGGAGCTATGCAGACACACCGAGCACTCCTCCTCTGATGTCTGCACACAGCCCGACCGGTCATTGCGCACGCAGCAGGCCGAGTGCTTCTCCCGCTCACGGGCAGCGCTGATGAAGCTGTGCACCTGTGGATCCTGGCGCATGCAGGGTGAGAACTTGGCACCCAGGTGAATGAGGGCCTCCTGCGGAGAGGGAGACAGCAGCTGGGGCCCAGGTCCCCCCAACCTGCCCTGCCAGGCCCCGCCCTCAGCCCCCGCCCTCACCGAGCTGGGGCCGATCCAGAAGTTCTCCTGCTGCACGTACTTGACATTCTCGTAAACGCCCCGGTTCCGCAATACCTGGGGAACACGCCATGCCAGGATTAGACCAGGCTGAGCAGTCCTGCACCTCCCAAAGCACAGCCTGAGGGGGTCCAGGGCCCAGAGCCACTCATCTGGGCCCAGGAGTGGGTGAGAGCTCACCGAGTCCACCGTCTCATGCTGTGAGAAGCCCACAGGCGCGATGCCATAGATGCAAACGGCTAGAATGGTGACGAGCGAGTGCACGAAGGTGAGCCAGTAGGTGAAGAAAGGCCTGCAGGGCAGAGCATTAGCAAATGTCCTCTGCCCGGCTGGAGCCCTCACCCAGGAGCCTGTGTCCCAGCCCCAGGCTTGCGCCTACCTGTGGTCATCCATGTCTTCGATCTGGCGCTTGACGTAGCTGTCAATACGCTTTCGGTAGGTGCGGTTGGTGAGGCGCCCCACCATACCCAGCCCATATGGCCGCTTCTCACGGGCAAAGAGCTTCCGCACAGGAACAGCAATGCGCTGGCCCCGTCGTGGCCCCACAGGGCTCACGACCTCCTGTCGAAGCCGCACTTTGGGCTGTGGGGCCACTGTGCCACCGTCCTTTTGCTTCCGCCAGCCGCGCTCCAGGGGCCTGGGGGAGGGGGAAGCCAGCGTGTTCACCACCGCCCCCCACCGGCTGCGGTCTGCCCCCAGCAGAGCAGAACACTGGTCAGTCTCTGTTCTCCCCCTGCTGACCATGTGAGACAAGTAAAGGAGCAATGTGGCACCCCTCCCGGGGCCCACAAGAGGCTCTGTACCTCAGCCATATTGACCAGGTCATTTCCTCCTCTCGGCTGGAGTGGTCCAGCCCCTGGGCTTTGGCATTTCCCAATAGGCAATAGAGACTGGGAGCATGCCTTGCCCTGGCTTCCCAGTCCACCAGGAAACTTACTCTGCGGCAAATGCCAGAGCGTCACTCACTAGGGACCAGCAGCTCCTAGTATTGCAAAGCTTCTCCCTGTGGACCTCGCCCTGCCTGCTGCACTCACAGCATCAAGTGGCTGCGCTCCAGCTCGCTTCGGTCCAGGGCCCCACCCGTGAGGTCAGCCTGCTCAGGGGCTTTCTCCCAGTCCTTGAGCGCTGCCTCTGATGGGGACTCAAACACCTCGTCCGGGTATGTGGACAGCTCCTCGTGGAGGACACCTTCCTGAGCAAACATGTGAGGTCAGGATGGATACAGAGAGGGAGGAGATGGGGTGATGCCCCAGGTTCTTCTTACCCGGGCAAAGAAAGATGTGTCCAGCTCATCAGGGAAGTCCACTGTGTCCTCCTCCAGGAAGCTGGCAGGAGTAAAGCTTCGGCGCTGTGCCCGGCGCAATGTGCCATCCCTAACAGAGCGGCCCTACCGGCAAGGAGGCAACCTTGGGACCTGGCAGCTGGGTTTTCCCCACCCTCACCTTTGGCCCCTGAACCTACCTTCACTAGTGCTGCGGCTGCCCGGAAGCTCATCTTGGCCACAGATTCGCGCTTTCGTCTCCGAGGGAGCCGGTTGAAACCTGAGCGGGAGCTGGAGAAGGAGCAGAGGGAGGCAGCACCTGGCGTGACAGGAGTGTGTGGAGCACTCAGGCCATCAGCAGTATCATCTGGCTGGCGGAAGGCCCGGCCCCGGGCTAGAGGGTCTATGATCTGGCAGAGGTAAGGAGATGCTAGAGTCAGGGCTGGAATACGCACCATAGGGTCTCCTAGCCCAGCCAGACCCATAGATGCCTCACAGAGAGAGCCCAGATGCTATCTTCTCACTTTTTGCAGGCCCTGGATAGCTACAGGGGCATCACCTCACTCACAGCACCTATAGGGCTGCCTCTCCCTCTCCTTCTCCCTCTGCCTCTGGATGCTCTCCTATCCAAAAGATGGCCCCGGTGCAATCCCAGGACTCAGCCTCCCCACCCACCATGGTTCCTCTTCCCAGATTATCTTAGGTGCCTTCCTGGGACTATCTCACTGCCTTCCCAAACATGAGCTCCTGAGGAGGGTCCTCTGCTCTGGCTGATATTCCCAGTACAACACAGAGGAGAACAATGAGGGCCCTGCAAGAGTCTGCAGAGCAGCACACCTTCTGCATGCCCAGCTGGCATGGCCCCACATATAGTGGAGGTGGAGTCTCAGTACTGGTCAGCGACACATTGTCCTGGCTGGGTAGGTCCAGTTCCCGGATGACCTGAGGCTTCAGCTTCCCATATCGCTGGCTGCAGTGACGGATGCTTTTGCGTTGCCACTTCTGGGTACTGTCACTGTCTTTGCTCACTCCGAACCAATCAGCTGTCCCCCTAACATGAGAGGGACTCAGCATGGGGCAGCCAGACCTATTCCTCCCAGGCAGGGGGTCTCAGAGGGCAACCTCCCAGGCAGCATGCTCAGCCCCAGGCCTCCAGGCACCGCAGGTCCTGGGCTCTAGATTGGTAGAATCTAATTATGAAGACAAGTGGGTTCCAGCTCTAGCCCCGCCAAACAGTAAGGCGACTGCAGTTCCCACTAGAGCACATCTTCAGGCCTCACCTAGGCAGGCCACACTTAGGTCCCCACCCTACCCGAGTCCAGAGAGAGCCTGGCTCCAGGCAGTGGCTGTAACTCAGGACACCACAGAACTGAGCAGGTGCCACAGGCCTAGGCAGGTTGCCCACAGCCCTAGGACATGCAGAGAAACACTATGAGCACCTGTCCTGAGGGGACCCCAAGAAATGCCAACCACTCTGGCAGCTCCAAGAGGGCACATGACATGCACACACCAAAAAACACCAACACATTCATGACCTGCCTGAGGTACCTGAGCAGGGACCAAGAGAGAGACTGGCGCTGTGGGGAGGCCCTGTGGGCAGCCCGGGGACCTGGGAGGGGCAGAGTGTGAACTCGCCCAAAGCGTACCTGTCGGCTGTGAGGGGCCAGAGTGTTAGGGTAGGGTAGAAAGAGGAGAGTGGGTATGGGAGGGAGCAGAGAGAGGGGTGAGGTGAGAGCACTCAGGTCCCAGAACAGGGGGCCAGGGTGGCACGGGGACCCAGATAGTGGAGTGACCTGAGACAGGAGGGGCCCCTGCCCCATTCTCAGCCCCAGTACCCAAAAGGGGACCTGTGTGCCACCTTTTGTCCCCCACTCCAGCCCCTGCCCCAACCTGCAGAATAACCAGGGCACTGCAGTACCTGCGGATGGTCTGTGTGATAGACGTCTGCCGCTGCAGCACAGGCCGCCGGGGCTCATGGTAGGGTGAAGGCACATGGGCCGTTTCAGCTGGCATGCTCACACTCCGCAGGAAAGCCTGGCGTCTTAAGGGCTGGGCAACAGGGTCATGGTAAGGCGCCTGCATGAGGCACACAAACAATCCCTGCTGGCCAGGACCTACCTGCAGGAAGCCAGGTTCCTCTGTAGCCAGGGGCACTGCAGCTGGAATGTCCAGTTTTAACCAGGGTGGCTTCTTGCGCTGCAGACTGCTTGTGCTGTCCCTGCGGGCTTCATTCATGGTTCCAGGTGGAGTGCAGGCCTGGGGGTGCGGGGTGCCATTCAATAATGACAATGCTGACACATCTCTGAAGACTCACTATGCCCAGACCAATGAAGCTCTGATAAACCCAACAGTAGTGCTCACAGCTGTTGTGTGCCTTGCACTGACATGCTCTGTGCTTGCCTTGGTCCTCCCCACAGACAGGTCCTCAGACAAGATGAATCCATGGGACAACACTGGGAGCACCTACTAGGAGCAATATCTTTGGAGTGCCTGGCACACACTGGAGAAGCAGATCAAAATCCCTGCCCTCCCAGCTGGCCATGGTGACTCATGCCTGTAATCCTAGCACTCAGGACACGGAGACAGGAAGACTGTGGAGAGTTCAAGGCCATCCTGGGCTACAGAGTGAGTTCAAGGCCAGCCTGAATTATATAGTGAAACCCTGTTTAAAAATTTAAAAAAATTCGATCTCCGGTACCAAAAAATTTAAAAAATGAAAAAAATAAAAATAAAAAAAAATTGGGGCCGGGGATTTAGCTCAGTGGTTTCACTACCAGCTGCACAAGTGCAAGGACCTGAGTTCAATCCCCGGTACCAAAAAAAAAAAAAAAAAATTAGAAAATTAAAAAATAAAAAATAAATTTAAAAAATCCCTGCTCTCCTGAGGCTTAGATTCTAAATAACAATAACCCTATAAATAAGTAAAAGACTACATGAAACCATATTAAAAGATGCTAAGTGGGCCAGGGATTTAGCTCAGTGGCACCGAAGTCCAAGGTCCTGAGTTCAATCCCCAGTACCGCAAAAAAAAAAAAAAAGATGCTAAATGTGATAGGGAAAAATGGCAGCAAATTACAGCTGTTTGGCAGGGGACAGTGAAGCCTCCCTGTAATAGGACAGCCAAACAAAGGCTTGAAGGTGGTGAAGATGGAGCACAGCTGGACTGTGCGGCATGCATACACAGGGACAGCAATGCGAAGTTTGCATGAGCGCCAACTCCGGCTGATCTGACCCAGACCTCACTGCCCTAACCACCATGACTTCCGCTCTGCAGACAGAGGCCCACTAAACATACAACCACTTGTACAGAGTGCGTGGCCAGCCTACCGCACACAGGAGTTGCCACTTTCAGAGAAAGACATGGCTCTCCAGAATGGCAGACCACCAGCTTGGGACAGCAGGCTCCTTTGTGCAAAGTAAAACCATCTGGGAGCAGAAACCATGATGGCCACCAGGTGGTGTGACATGCTTAGAAAGGGCAGGGAGGAGCTGGGCACTGTGGTAGGTGGGGGCTGCATGCCTCACAGCACCCTGAGCATCTGAAACAACAAATCTGCCATACTGGCACTGGGAGGGATCCAGGGTAGAGAGGTCAGGATTCAATCTGGGCCATCACTGCCTTGCCATGAGTCTGAGGCAAGTCCAGACTGGCCTCCGAGGGATGCTTTCCCTCCCTACAAATGACAGTCACTGGAGATCTACACACCTTTTCCCCAAGGACCACAGGATCTGGAAAGTGGACAGCCAAGAAGGTTCCTTGAGCACAACAGGAACAAAGATGGGAGTGGAGCTCCCTGAAGTAATACTGGAGGGCAGAAAATCCAAAATTCCTCAACCATCTCAAAGAGTGTAGACCCAATGGGGTCTGAGCAGCAGCATGTGAAGCATGTACCTTCAGAAATGGCCTCACTTAGGAGTTTCCTCAACTCCTTGGAGGGGACAGAGAAGCCCCACCCACACTATAAACAGGGAAGCTGAGGCCTACAGAACAGAGCCTTGTCTTGCTCAAGGTCACATATTCAGAGTATTTTACCTAGGGACAGGCCAGGATGCCGCTCAGAGCTTCTCAGAGCTTCTACATCGACCAAGGAACACCCAAACTAGTGCATATGGCTCCTATGGGCCTTACACTGACCAAGAAAAGGCATATGCTACTGATCACAGTAGCTACTGGTTTTATATCAACCAGGGACAGCCCTAGAACAACGCTCACAGCAACTGCTGGCCATACACTAACCACTGATCAGGAACGGAAGAGAGAGTGGGAGGGAGTCCTTCAGGATGCTTACTCCTGGTTCTTCCCCTCACATCCCAACCTCTTCTCCAAGCTTTGGGTCCCAGGTGGCAGCTGAGAGACAAAGCCTTGAGATGCTCCCCAAAAATGCTGCTCAGAGGTCTAAAGGCTTAGTTCCCTCTCCCCTGCCCTCATCTGGCCTCATCATGGGACGAGGGCAGCCTTAGTCTCCACACCACTGGGCCCCTGCCCATTCTGAGCCCCAGTATTAGGGGGAGAATGACAATACCTGACAAGAACACATCCTATTAGGAAGCAGATGGGACAAGGTTTCTCCAGGAGCTGAACTAGACCAGCCCACCTGACACATACCAAATGCCCAGCCCAGACCTGGATCCCATGTGTCACCTGGCCCCAGGTCAGCATCCTAGAGTAGCCATCTTCCTCATCTTCCCCCAGCTGTCTTTCCAAGGATTATATAGATTGTAGAAACATCACCCTGTGGTAAGAAAATGGCTTAAGGGCCACCTCTGCGTCTCAGACACTACTGGCAGAATCTGAGACAGCAGCAGGTGTGTGGGGAAAGTAGGATGGACTCGGGGTGGGGCCGGTCCTCAACCTGCAGAGCTGTGATCAAATCCTTTCAGCCAGGCAGGATGAACCTGCAGGCAGGGACCTAAGCGGTCTGCTCCCCAAGGATGTGTTGAGCCCCAAGGGGTCTAGGAGGTAAGGAGCCAGGCACCAGACAAGACAGACACCCTAGTATTTTAGGCAGGGAAAACCAGCCCGCCTTCAGTTCATTCTGAGGGGCCACACCAATCCTGCCACCCAACAGCCACATGCCTTTGCTAGTCGATTTTGTCTCCAGGAAAATTCCATGTTGCTGGTAAGGCTATTTATCGGTCCTAGAAAGGAGCATAGCCAAGAGTGGAGACTGGGGTGGGAGTGGGGATGGAGGAATCTATGGGGTCTCAGGAGATAGCCTCTCCAGAAACTTGTCCCACTGTGCCCAGCACTTCTAGGTGGCATCCAGCTGGTGCCTTGCTCAGGAGTGCAAGTGACTTTTTTTTTTTTTTTGAAATAGGGCCTCACTACATAGTTGAAGCTAACCTTGAACTCACTATGTAGCCTAGGCTGGCCTCAAATCTCGGCAATCCTCCTGGCTCAACCTCCTGAGTTCTGGGATTACAGGCATGTAACCGGCAAGTAACCTTTGCCAACTAATTCACACACATTCATGATGTTTCACAGTTGCCCCCCACCCTGCCCCAGAGCCTGTCCTCAGTTCTGGCTCCCTCCCATCTCAAGGCCCCTGTGCATACATTCTGCCTGACCTTGGATGTGTTCCATGACCTCCAACCTCAGTATGGATGAGGGTCTCTCCCCTCTGTGGCCCCACCCCCATCTGACACTCCCTAGCCTGGATCCACCACCCCCTCCAGCAAGGCAAAGGCTACCTGGGAACACATTCACACACATGTGGGCCTCTGTCCTGCCACTGCTGGTCCACAGTGCCCAGGAGAGGCTGGCTCCAGAACCTCCACTGGGTAAACACTGGTCTCTGCAAAGCTCAAGCCAGCAGGGGCCTGTCAGCAGGATTTGGGACATGAGGGACTGCTGAAGGAGATGACTCCTCAGGTGGGTCGTGAAGGAGGAGCTGGCATGAGCAAGTAGGAGTGGGGACAGCACAAGCTCAGAGGTGAGACGCTATGGGTGAAGATGCACCCCCCCGATTCAGCCGGCCCACAGCTGGCCCCTGGGTAAAGCAGAGCTACTCCACTCAGAGGCCCCAGCCCCTGCCTGACTATCCAGTCTCCTGGGGTGGAGGCAGTAGGGTACAAGAGAACCCACACGGCTCTAGGTCTTGCCGGCAGGGAGAAGACACCCACCCTGCCCTTGGTGCTGTCTCCTGCCTTGTGCCCAGTTCCTCATTTGGGCCTCAAGTGAGTGGGATTCACAAAGCATGGGGGAGGAGCAGCCCCAGGCCGGATGAAGCCCAGGCCAAGTAGCACTGCGCTGCCAGCCCACAGGGGCTCAATGTGCAGCCTCCCCCAGGCACACAGTGGGCTCTTGTTCCCAGACAGTCCCAGGGGACTCTCCCCTCTGCTGGCACCTCAGTATGGGGGGAACGATAGCCCACGAGGGCCTGACTGCCCAGGGTCACAGCATGAGTCACTCCGAAGAACCAGGAGACGCCCAAACCAGCTACTGGAACAAAGTGGGAAGTACTGAGGATCAGTGCTAACAGTGCAACTGAATCAAGTCAGGTCACGGAACAGTGGACCTCATGGGCACTCCAAGCAGTAGGACAAGCCAGCATGAGCAAGACTTGGGTTCGGATGAGGGTCAAGACGGGCCAAGGGAGCCACAGAGGGTGTGCATATTCAAGTCCACTCTAGCTGCCCGTGGAGAGCGGGAGCGGCTGTCTGCAGCTGTGTGGGCAGAGACTAGAGACTAGGTGGGGACAGAAGACAGTCCTGCTGACGTGGGAGCCTGCTGTGGGATGACTGGCGACCCTCCACGCTGGCCCCATGCATGAGTGCAGGAAGAGCCAAAACATGGGAAAGCCAGTGGGGAGAGCCCAGAGCAGGGCACTGCACACCACCTACAACCCTGAACAAGCCCCAGTTTTCTCATCTAAAAATCACAAGTAGGGCCAGGGATTTAGCTCAGTGGTTCCACCGCCTGCCTCGGAAGTGCAAGGTCCTAAGTTTGATCCCGGTACCAAAATAAATAAATAAACAAACAAATAAATAACACAGGTCATAGCAGTGCCTGGCACACAGTAGGTGTTCAATAAGTGGCAGCTGAATCAACACCAGAAAGGCTGGTGCAGCTGCAGAGGCAGGAAGAGAATAGCCAAAGCTGCAAGCGGGAGCGGGAAGCATGAGAGGGCAAGCCATGGGGAAACTAGAGGATTGTGCCCTTCCCAGGCCAAGCTTGGGAAGGTGCAATGGACAACATGGCCACAGCCAGTGCGAAAATGCATCCTCAGGTGTGAACAGCATCCACCTGTGCACACTCACAGGGCAACTGGAGGCAGCCCCAGAACTAGAACCAAGCCCAGGCCCAACAGGGCCCAGCCTGGGGTACCTTTAGCTCACCCACAACCAGCCCCAGAAAGAGCTGGTTTCTTCTGCACTCCTACTTGCCCCTTGGACTCTGCCTCCTCTTTGACCCAGAATCTGATGCCAAGTCCCAGAATACCTTTTGGGAGAAGGGATCACCAGCTGTCCAAAGCCCAGATCCCATTCCTTCACCACATGCTGCAACCCACATTGCAAAATGGAACTTTAAAAGTTAGATTCTCTTCTTTTAGAGATAAGCAACTTCTCCATACTTCCTCCTACTGACCAACATTTCCTCCCTTCACCCTAAAAGAAGTGATAGGATAAGCAGATACCTCCAGGAGGCTAGAGCCCAGGTTCCTGTCCATAAGAAAGAATCAAAGATGGCTGGAAGTGATAAAGCAGGTGTGGAGATTGCGTGCGTGCGTGCGTGCGTGCGTGTGTCTCTGCTTCTCCTCCCCTTTGTTCCTTACTAGAAAGGACCCTTACCCACCTGTACATGGTGAGATCATGACTTGAAGCAAATGGGCCCCTCCATCTCCTTGGATATACTCTGAATAAATCCTTTTTTACCAAAATACAATGGACCCTTGACTTACAAACTCAATTTATTCACAAGAGCCAGTTGTAACTCAAGTTGATCAATTGAAGGCTCAGGCTCCTCTACACAGCCTTCAAAGTCTCTCTCCTGTACACAGGCAGATCTCAGTTCTTAGAGAGACATTGGCCCAGGACTTCTCCATTAACCCCACAAAGGAAAGGATGTTGTAATGTTCCTTCCAGAACTCTTTAAGGGTTAAATCTGTATCTGAGGCTATCTGGAAGCACAAGCAGCTGGTATTTGGGTCATAACTAGACTTTGGTTGTAAGTTAAAACTAAAATTCCAGTCATAACCCAAGTTGTTCGTATGTCAGGCTGGTCATAACTCAAGGGTCCACTATATATAGTGGCATACGCCTGTGATCCTAGCACTCAGGAGGCTGAAGCAGGAGGATGGCCTGAGCTACATAGTGAGTTTAAGGCCAGCCTGGACTATTTGGCAAGACCCTGTCTCAGAAAAATCCTTTGATCTGGTCAGTGAACAAACGAACCTAAGCATATGAACTTAAGTGGCCAGTGACAACACCACGTGTGGTAAAGAAGAACTGCCTTGCTTCTCTGTACCTGTCTGCTTCATCTGTAAATGGCATCATGTTGGGAATATGTGCTGGGCCCTCTGCAAACCACAGGATGATCTCTGACCCTCCTAGTGAAGCCTTCCGCTTTTCTGTGGAAGAAACAGTTTTCGTGTGGAGCAGAGCAAGCCTGTGATCAACCCAGTGGCCTGCACAGCACTCTCTCCCTGTCGCCAGGACAACACACTAGCTCCCTGTCTCCTCATGTCCCCCATCCCCTGCCATCACCCCAGGCAGGCATAATGAGGGGCTTCCTGCTATGGGCAGTCTACAAGGGAAGTGGCCCCAGGTTCTGGAGGTGGCAGGAATCCCTGATGACAGTGATGCTGGAGAGGAAGGTACACACAAGAGAAAAGGGGCCAGCCCTGGAGAGTCCCACTACCCCTTTCCCTTTAAGCCAGCACAAGTGGCCAGGAGTCAAAGCTCCTGAACTGGCTGGGGCTGACATGACAGATACACCTGAGGGTCAGGAGGCCCCAAAGCTCAGAACAGAGTACCTGTCCAGGCCACCCACTTTGAAAGGAGTGGGAGCAAGGACTTAGCTGTACTAGAGCACGGGTGTAACCTGCCTATAAAACTGGACACTTCTGGTTCCTGTCTGGGGTCCAGCTGGGTCCCAACAGCTGAAGTGCTAGCTGACAGGGGGAGGAGCCCAACACCTTTGCAGAGGACAAATGAGCAGCCCGGTCACCAGTTAGAGCTCCCACAAATGGCTTTGACTGACCACACACATGCACATTCAGGTTCAGCAATTGCTCCCAGGCCCCCAGAAGCAGGATAAGACTGCAGAGGTTCCTGGAGGGGAAACTAAGTCAGCAAAATAGCTTCAGTTATCAGGAGCCTGGCACCGCAGCATGACACCTGATCATGAATGACCCTATCCATCTGTCATCACCCCTGGGAGGGGCTCTTTGTGTCTATCTTACAGCGAAGAGAGCTGAGGCTCAGAGAGGCTGGTCACTATGCAAGGTCACAGAGCCTAGAAGGGAGCACCACCTGCTGATGCTACTGCAGAGCTCAGCCTCCGGGAAGTGGAGGGCTGTCAGGCCCCTCTAGGCCACTCCCCACAAACCAGGGATATCGCAGGTGAGGGAGGATAGTATGACCTCTCAATATAGCCAACCCAGAAAACAAGCAGAAAGAAGCCAAGGAATCAGATCTCAAGGCAGAAAGTTTATCCGGTCCCAGGCACTTAGATGGGAGAACTGGAGCCCATGTGGGGAAGGTCCCTACATCCAGGCAGCAGCTGAAGGCCCACAGGAACAACTGGGGGTGCCCTGAGCACAGCCAAAGCTGGAAAGATTCTAGGGGAAAGCCCTGGTCGCTCCTAAAAGGTAAGGGACCCCTGAATCCAAGGTCCCCAGAAGCTCAGCTCCCAAAGTGCTGGGCAGCATCTTCCATCCAACTCCACAGACTTCAGCACCCTGTGCAGGAAGAGGCAGCCAAGCCCACAGAGGCTGCATAGAGGGCCTGGAAAGGGACCTGAGGACCAGTGCCTCCACACCAAGCCTCCAGAATCGCTTGCCCCTGCACTATTCGAAGGGAAAGGACCCAGCAGGCCCAGAATTATTGGTGGCAGGGGGCTCAGCCTCAGGAATCCCTTGAGCCACAGTCAGCTGCTGAGTTCCCAGCCTGTTCCCAACCTTAGGGTGGGGATGAGGGGGCTGGGGCTGGCTCCTTGGGGGTGGGGAGAACCCAGCCTGGGACTGCCCAGGCTTCTAGCTGGGCTAAACCTGAAAAGCCAGTTTCATCCTAGAATCTTCTCCAGGTTCCAACAGGAAGTGGGGGGGGGGGGCTTTCCAAGCACAAGACCATCTGGGTTTAAGGGTGGGCCTCGGAGTGGGGGGGGACCCTTGCCCATTCCTCACCCAGCAAGACAAACAGCGGGCCCTCCCTAGAGCCCTGAGCACCCGGGTCGGCTGTCAGCGCCCCACCAACCACGGGGCGGGGGTTGCTGCTTCAAGGCACCAGGCTGTGGCCTCAGGCTCAGCCTCTGCCAGCCTTCCAGGCCCCCACGCAGGATGGGGTCGTCTTTGGAAGTAGCTCCCAGTCAGCCCCTCGGAGTTCAGTGTTTACAGACGGCCCGGCCCGTGCGACAGGCAAGGGAGCGTCCGGCCCCCAGCCCACAGCTGCCGCTGTTACTCCCATCCCCGGAGGACGCCCGCTGGGACTGGGCCGTCCCGCCCTCCCTCGAGCTAGAGTCACAGTCACCTCCCACCGGGTGGCCGGGAAGGAAGGAGCCGGGAGGCCGCTTGGAGGGCTGGCTGGGCCGCAGGACTCGGAGCCCCAGGGCTCCCGACCCTCCCGAGCCTGGCAGTCCGCCTTCAGGCCGCTGGGACATGCTAATCTGGCCACCGGCTATTTTTGCGAAGTCAGGAATCCGGGCTGGGCCGCCGTAGCGGGCGCCTGGGAAACTCCGCGAAGGGAAGTCCGGCGCCTGGAGCAGGTTCGCGCCCGCATCCGGATCCGAATCCGGACCCGGCCCGGCCGGGAGGACAGCGCACGGCCGCACTCGGCAGACAGCCCCGGAACCGCGCGGCCCGGAACCCCGCGCCCGGCCGCCACTCACCGCTGCCACCGCTGAGCTGGGGATCCTGGACGTCCGCAGGGGCCGCCACCGCTGGCCGGGAGGGCGCCCGCGCCGAGTCGCCGCCCGCCCGCCGGGGAATGCCAAGGGGCGAGGGGCGTGCGCCGGGGCGGGCCCAGCGGGAGGGGCGGCCGCCTGACTCAGGGCTCAGGAATGCGCGCCGCCCGCTGCGGCGCCTCCTCCGGGAAGGCCGCCGCTGGCCTTGCTCTGTCCCTGTTCCGCTGGCAGAGACACCTGTGGCCGAGTAGTTTGGGAGGGCCTGGGGGAACCTGGTGGTCAGCAGCGGTCCTGGCTCCCCAGCTTCTCCCCGGATCCAGGTCAAGTCCTGACATTGTCCTGCCTCAACTTGTGCCTAAACTAAGGAGAGGGGTCATCCAATCTAAAAACCAGTCCGCAGTCGGGCTGAAATCCCAACACTCTGGGAGGCTGAGGCAGGAGGATCCCAAGTTTGAGCCCTGCCTGGGCAACTTAGTGACTTAGTGAGACCCTGTTTCAAAATAAAAAAGGGCTGGGGATATAGCTCAATGCAGAGTGCCTGAGTTCGATCCCCAGTACCTGTAAAAACAAAAATTCGGCTGGGGATATGGCTTGGTGGTAAAGCATCTGCCTAGCATGCACACAGTACCGCCAAAAAAAAAAAGGCCTACAGTGACAAGCCACTTATCCCACCCTGACCGAACCCCAGGCTTTGCTCACTTTCCACACACAGAACCACTCAGTCACACATGCATGCTCATGCATCCATTTGCTTACACACTCAACATGCTCACATTGTTTACAGACTCATGCATCTACTTGGGTACACATTTTCATGGGTACATTCATGCCACTCACACATTTACACTTCTAGACACTCATATTAATGTTTTTGTCACAGCCACATCAAAGCAGTTACCCTTTCCCTGGGCTTCCTCCCCTACTCCTCCAAGCTGCACACTTCTGAGCTCACTGAGCAAAGTGGCATCACTGTTCCTTGTCCTCTGCCTCAGTGCTCCATAGTACCCCTGGGAGGCTCATCCCTGCTGAGTTGGATACAAATGGCCCATCTACTTTCAGCTTTCAGCTGGGGGTTTTCTAGCATCTTCTCTCCTGACACTGGGTGCAGACATCAGGGTATAAACAAAGCTGTCCAAGAGTTGCTGTGGGGCCAGGGGTCAGACTTCTACTGAGTAGTGGTTCTGGGGGTCTTCCTGCTCACCAGTTGTTCAGGCCTCAGAGGGTCTACAGTTTCCCAAGTGCTGGGCAGCTCCACGGCCCTTCATCAGCCTGTGCAGTGAGAGGCAGCCAGGTAGGGAACCTGATGGTTCTGTGCTGGTCACAAGGCCACTGCTCCCCAACCACATTCTCAGGGACGTGGTTTAGGCCCTGGGAATTGACTTGCTAACACCAAAGTTCGCCAAGCTGCATCCAGTGCCTGACTACAGACTATGTTTTGAAAATAAAGTTGACAACTTGAACTAAAGGTGGCGGTGGATGTAGCGGTAGGGGCCAGACCATGGGGAATGCTCCTCTGCCTGTATCCTCAATTATACCATAGGACAGGGTGGTGTGGACACATAGTGGGTCCTTGATGAACACAAGCAATATCAACACAATTCTTTGATAGAGAGAGTCCCTGGAAGCTTGGGATGGGGTGGAGGAGACTCCTTCGCTATGGAGACTACTGCTGGTGCCTCAGGGACAGAGCAAAAGGGACGCTGCCCTGGTGCAGATGTTCAGGGCTCCTGGACCCCACATACACCGCCCTTCCTTCTTTTTATTTTTTTATTGTTTTGGTACCAGTACCAGAGATCGAACTTGAGTCCTTGCGCTTGTGAGGCAGGTGGCGGAACCACTGAGCTAAATCCCTGGCCCGAACGCTTCCTTCTACGCCAGACTCAGGGACAGAACAATCTCCATACCTTGCATTCTTGACCCCTGTCTGGGATAAGCAGGCACTGGATGCTCAGACTGGGCTGGCTGGACTAGTGGTTGTGTCTTCTCTGGAAAGCCAGGGACTAACCTTGTCTCCAAAAAAATGCCACAGCTGGGTATCTGTAATCCATAGGTCCCCTTCTTCAGTGGACACTGTAGGACACAACTCAGATCTCTCCTAGACACAAAGATTCACCTCCAGCAACCAGGAGCCACACAATGGCCCAGGAGTCCCCTCCAATGGAAGCGAATCCTCCACAGAAGGTGTTACATCCAGGCAAACAGCTTCCCTCCATGTTCATACTTCCAGGGCTCTCTTGGCTCCCAAGCACAGGTGGCATCTACAGCAGACCCTCTGGCAAACCCTACTCTCATGGCCTTCACCAGTATGGCTCCCAACAGCATGACCCTGCTTGAGATCCCCATCCCAGTGTCTGTGTCTAGGAATCCCTTGACACAGCCTACCCTGGCCTCCAAAGCAAGGGTATCAGAAGGAAAGCATGAGTGGAGGACAGACATATATATGCTCAGGCCTGTACCAAGTCCACATGGACACATGTCTGCATACACGTGTGCTGCCTCAAGCCTGCCCTACTGGCCTGTATACTGGTGGAGGAGCCCTTATTAAAACCCAGCCCCCTGACCCCTTACCCCTCTATCTTTCATCTTCCCTGGAGAAAAGAAAATCAGCTTCAATTGCTTAGTATGTCTGGAGCTGGTGCATAGGTGTCTAAAGGATGGGTAAGTACTATCTACCCCAGGTCTTGTGAAGCTTGCTCCAAGACATGAGTGGGTGGAACCCTGACCAGTAAGAGAAATCTTAACAACTACCTTGGAATTCTCAGCTCAGGTTCCAGGCCACATGTAATCACCCTAGGGAACCAGGCCCTGGGCTTTGGAGGTCCTTAAAGAGATCAGAAGAAGAAACTGCCACTGCCTGGGGAGCAGAGATTCAGGGACAGATCCCTGGCTATTTGGGGAGGAAGCAGAAGTGGGCCAGGCTGGTCCAGGTTGAAGCCACAGCTATTTCTGAGGCAGCTGCCCCCCCCCCCCCATGGTCCAGGGCTTAGCAAAGAGGTAGAAAGCTTCTGGGTCCAGAGAATAGCAAAATTGGCAGCATAATCCCCAGAAGAGAGGGTGCAACCACACCCACACCCACCCACACCCACACACAGGACTGTGGCTGCCTTCCCTGCTCTAGGAACCACTGACCCCCACCCTCAAGGCCTACCAAATACAAAAGGCCAGAGCCAGGGATTTAGCTCACTGGTGCCACGCCTGCATCACAAGCTCAGGGTCCTGAGTTCAATTCCTGGTACCAGTAAAACAACAAAAAAACCCTCAGTACCAAATACAAAAGGTCACAGAGGCCTGCTAAGAAGCTGCTAGAAGGGTGCCCATGTAGCATAGGACCCCATTGGCTCTGACCACTCCTCCTTCAGCAACTGTCAGTCCATCCTCCAGTGGGAGAGAAAACTAAACCAGTGCATTGAGGCCTTGGAACAGTGAGGCTAATCCTGAACCTCTGTCTCTGTAGCCTTTAGAGCCAAGGAGAGCCACACCCCTCACAGCAGGAGGCTGTTCCAGCTCTTCTATAGCTTATGAGTTGGGGTCACAGAGCTGCTCACTCCAGTTTTGAAGCCTTCTGCAGCCTCTGACTCCTCACCTCTACCTCCCACTGACACCCTTGCTTTCCTAACAAGCCTCCCCAGCCCAGCATCAGGGCACACTGAAGATAGTAGAGATCCAGAGGCCCCTCTTCTCTCCTGGTATCACCACCTCCTGCCCCTGGCCAGCCTGCCATCCCACCCTGCAGACCACAGGGAGAAAACCCAGCCCCCCACTTCCAGCCTGCTACAGTGGGACCTTACACCACAGACCAGGAAGTGGGGGGGGTGGGTAGAGATTGCGCAAGCCCCCCACTCAGGCCAAAACATCTGGAGAAGTGGGATGCTGGCGCCAGCCCTACCTCGTTCTCCTGGGGCAGAGCCTGGCTGCCCACTAGATGGAATGAGCCTCTCCTTGTTCATCTGAAAGGTGAGAATAAGAGAGCCTTTCAAAATGCCCACCATTTCTGCTACACCCATCCTCCCCTGACCTCATCAGGGCCACAAGGGCCCAAATGGGGCCTCACTTTCCCTCCTAGATTTTGAAGGGCAAGGAGGGGGAACTTTTCCCACAGGAAGCGGGAGTCATTGTCTGGGTGGAATGGCTGGAGGGGATATGAGAGGAAGGGGGTGGGAGTCACATCCAGGCCTGCCTCATTAACAGGGATTTATGACACAATGTCCCCCCCTCCAAACCCCCAGTAGCCCCTGGAAGTGGCATACAGTGCCACAAACAGCTGGGTGGCTTCCTGCAGGCAACAGGCAGCCACTGCCCCTCCCTCTAGGCAGCAGGCAGCAGTGAGCAGGCAGCAGCTGCCCCTTTCTCCCCAGGAAGTCTTGGTTGGGCCCCAGCTGCTCAGAAGAGAAGCAGTAGACCAGGGTCCTGCCTGCTGGCTTTACCTAGGATCCTAGGTGCCTTCTGCATCTGACCGTCAGACTCATGGCCTGTCTCTCTGCGCTGTCCAGCACTTCCCATGGGACGCCCAATTGCTTTCTGAGGCCTATAGGGTACTTTCCCAGGGTCAGGGTCCCAGCAATCAAAGTCTGCTCAGGATAAGCCCCTCAAGGGTTTTTACGGGGGTGGGGGGTGGTCCTGAGTTGTAATTAGGCTTGTAGAGGGCCCAGTGGACCCAGGGAAACCCTAGAGTGGCAAACTGGGGTGGAGGTGTCTTTGGGGCCTCCTTCCTCGGTGCTCTTTCTTCCCCTGGGTCAGGTACTGCCCTCCACAGGCGCCTTGGTCCTCTCTGAGAGCACCAAGCTGACTTGGAGGTTACAGGCAGGGAGGGCAGCAGGCACTGGTTTTTGGGGAGCAGGCATCAGAGTGTAGGGCGGCTGCCACCCAGCCAGGCGAATGTTCAAGTCCCCACACCCCTAGTCCTGGCCTCAGCCTCTTGAGGCTGGCCAGCTCTCACGGCCCCACTCAGGTCGTGGGTGAGCTCCTCTTAGTACACGGGGGCGGCAGGAGGGGTGGAGGCTCCATTACAATGGCAAAATCCCCGCTGTTCCCTTTCTTTCCTACCCCTGCCGGGGGACAGGGCCTCTGGATAGCCCAGGCGTCCACTTCCTGCCCCCTCCACTCAGCGCCAGAGGTCGGGAAAGGCAAACCCAGGACCAGGGTTTGGCCGCCACCTCCCTGGCAAGCTCTCCGCGTCAGCCTCTGCATGGCTGTGGCTCAGGCTTTCCCAAGGCGGGTCTCCCGACCCGGGGCCCTCGAGGGCCCAGGCCAGGCGCCTGGTGCCTGGCCCATCCGGGATGAGTGGGCTCTGCGGCTGTCAGGTGGGTCCCTGGGGCAAGGTCAAGCCTGCCGCCTCCTCAACTCTGCACCTCCAACTTCCTGGCAGCTGAGCCTGGTTTTCGAGGTGGTGTATGCGCTGGGAAGGAGGAGCCCAGCGGCATGGCCCGCCCCTCTATCCCTGCGCAGGCGCCTGCCCCGCCCCCAACAGGCGCTTCCGGGCAGCAGATTGGGGGCGCAAGGCTGGTCTCAGGTGAGTTCGCGCCACGGCGGCAGCGGGCCGCTCCCCCCTCCCCACGGCCCAGGGCGAAACCGGTGACTGTGACCTGCTGTGCCCGTCAGTCCTGACGGGGCCTCAGTTTTTCGGACGAGCCCACAGTTTAAGAGCCTTTGAATGGACCCGACGTCGTGTTGCGGGCCAAGGGCCAAACCGAGTAAGATCCGGGCCGCAGCGTCTCGCAGTCTGAGCCCGCGGCGAGCTGGCACAAGGGGCCAGGCTGCAGAGACGGTAACGTCAGTGTCCATTCCCGGCGGACTGGCGGTCTCGGTCCAACGTGGACGTCAGCACAGATGTTAAAAATAATAGGTTTTTCTTGTGTAGGGCGGAAGACGAGCCCTAGAGCGGCCCCGTCCCTCGTCGCCCCCTGCATCTCCCCCTCCTCCTTGGCCCCACAACAGCTGAAGAGGTGTGATCAGATTTCTCTAGCCTTGTGGAGAACCTCGACTCTCAGAAGATCTCTTGCCCTGCTGGCTCCTTACTCTGACATACTGGGCAGTGTGGCAGCGCTGGGCACTTATTAGGGACCTGCAGAGGTCATGACCTGGGCGCTTGGGATGGGGCCTGCCAGATGCTCACCCACCTATATGTGCCAGGCCTTCTGGGCCATTCCCAAGCATCTGGCAAGTGGAAACCTTGCTCACCTATCAGCCTGGCAGTTGAGAAGAGGAAGCCAAGTCTGTTTCTCTGCCAGGCTCTGTCCGGGTCTTGCCCAAGTCAGAGCTGTGTTTTTAAATTAGTGCCAAAGGTTAGATACAAACAATAGGATTCCACAAGCAGACTGAGAAGTTTCTTTGGGTTCACATAAATAAAGGGAATGGTAAGATCCTAGTCCTCATGTTCAAGTCTTAAGCACCAACTGCCCCCTCCCCAGGTCTTACAGCCCAAGCTCCCAAGCTGTGCATTTTCCATGTGTGCAAGCGATGTGGGACAGAGTGGCCATACTGCCACTACCAGCAGCCCGTCATCACCTGTGATCATTTCTCAAGGGCTCCTGAGGCTGAATGTCAGCAGTGGCATTCTACTTGTGCCTCATAACAACACATGAGGTGGGTATCCCCACTTTGCTGATGAAGAAATTACTATTCAGTAGCATCTCTCTCTCTCTCTCTCTCCTCCCTCTCCTCTCTCTTCTTTTCTTTTTTCTTTCTGGGTACTGGGGATCGAACTCAGGTCCTTGCTCTTACAAGGCAAGCGGTGGAACCACTGAGCTAAATCCCTGGCCCCCCTCTCCTCTCTTTTTCTTTTTTTTCTTTTTGGTAGTAGGGATTGAACTCGGGACCTTGCATTTGCAAGGCAGGCGCCGGAACCACCGAGCTAAATCCCCAGTCCTCCTCTCTTTTTCAATACTAGGCATTGAACCCAGGGAGTACTGAGCTATATTCCCATTCACCCCCTTTCTGTTTTTTGTGATACAGGGTCTCATTGTGGCGCTCAGGCTGGCCTTGAACTCATGGCAATCCCTCTGCCTCAGCCTCCAGAGTGCTGGAATTACAGCTGTGTGCCACCATCCTTGGCTTTTTAAAAATATTTTTGAGACAGGGTGGCCTTGAACTTCCAGTCCTCTTGCTTGAGCCTGCAGAGTAGCTGGGATTTTAGGATATGCCATTGTGTCTGGCCTCATCTGCTCCTGGAAGTCCCTGAGCCTGATTCACCACAAAACTATCTATCCCCTCCTACTCAGATACTTAATTTGTTTTTTTCCTATTACAGCTTTCCCAAAGGATGGGGCAAAAAAAGAAACAGGCAGAGGCAGAGCAGCAGCAGAGCCCAACAGATACAACCTGGATGCCCTCCTCCAAGAAGTCTTGCTTGAGACCACCCTTAATCCTGGGCTCCCAGTACAGCATCTATTTCTCTCAGAGTCCAAAGGCCCACTGTGCCAGGCTGGGGTCAGAGTTTTTTGACCAGCCAGCAGTCTCCCTGGCCCGGGCATTTCTGGGACAGGTAATGTACATGCAGCAACATGGTCTCTGCTGAAGTGCTAATCACCATGCAGGCATCATGCACCCAGCCATCTTACCACTGGTGATTTGGCCCTTGTTGACCCTCCTTGTGCTTATGCAGGTGGCTCTTTTGCCCACATTGGTCCCTGTGTAGTTCATCTCAGAGACTGGGGTCCCTGGAAAGAACGAGGAGATTGCTAGTGCTGTTGGCTCCAGTGGAGGCTGGACAGCCACTGTCAGTGTCCTGTTCTGAGCAGTGACAAGAATTCTGCATTCTTAGTCTCCCTCACCTGGGAAATAAGAGCTTTGTCCCTGTTCTATTTAAGATAACCCACTTCCCCCTTAGGGCAGGTTACTTGCAAGTACTATAAATAGTGTTGGCCCCTGCATTTTTGAAGGGCTGCCTTTATCCATACCATCTCCTAAATGGTGCTCCTGCTACAGGTTGCTTGTATCATTAGTAACAATTTTAGACATATAGGGACTATGACTGAGGCCACATTGGGTTCCCAGCTTCAGAATTCCCTTGGGATATCCACCTTCTCACTGTGGTTCATCATGCCAATGCTGCCTTTTCAATGGCCCCTGTGGGTCCATACAAGTCAGGATCTGGGGTCTGCCAGGCATATTTGGAAAGGGAAGCAGGGACCACCTACAGCCCATCCTGGGGTGGCCTGTGGAGCAGCCTGTCACCATTTGTGCACAACTGTAAAGTCTTGGCTGCGTCTAAACAGGGCACCACTGGGTATTGTTCTGGGATGCCAAAATCCCAGTCCTGGCTTTTTGGTTCTTTTAGAGATTCCCTGGCCTATTTGTCCTTGAACAAGCCTATTTTTAGATTAAAATAGCCAGTGAGAGTGAGTTTCTGTAACTGATAAGGCAACTTGTGCCAAGAATTAGGTACTAAAAGGAACATACCCTAACCTAGTAGAGCAGGGACAAGATTCTCTTCCTGTGAGGATGCTCTCAGCATTCATAGGATCCTTCTGAAATAGCTTAATAATGAGCATTTTTGCAATAACGAAACAGCACACGAAGCAGGTACAACCCAGGACTGGGTTAAGGGCCCAAGGGTGGCGACCACAGCCTATTCAGCATCCTCAGTGTGTTACAGTTTACCCTTAGGCCCCTGCCCACAAGCCTATGGTGAACAAGATGATGTACAGTAGAGAATGTACAGGTTGTTTACCCTGTGTGTCCCTTTGGAGGTGTGGGAGCCTGCACAGTGAAACCACCAGAGGAATGCTCCTTTTGAGCAGCTGCAAAGATGGGATGGGGCCACCCTTTCTCTCCTGGAGATAGTCTGGCCAAGCCCAAAGTGTTCACTCCTATCTTCAGTGCTTTGAATGCCTTCAGAGATTTCTAGGCTTCTAGGACAGGCATTGACCCTCTTCATTCCTCCAACCTGTCCTATGATACTGATTTTCAAGGCACCATGGAGCTACCTGGGCAGAGGCAAAAGTGACCTGACTGTCCAATTGATCTAAGGAATGGGCAAGTGTTGTGGATATGGCTGGTCCCTGAAGTTCTACTGTGAACCCTGGTTTAGTCAGTCCTGGAGCTGCAGGCACTGGAATGGATGCTAGCTATTCCGTGGTCCAGGCTAGTGCATTGCAGAGCAGCTGGTCCCACTGTTCAGAATGGCCTTAAACTGGTGGCCAGGAGCTGAATGTGAGGGGATTTTTGTGGCTACCGGATTAGGCCAGGTTGGGGACACTCCACAGGCTCTGGAACATCCTAGGAGGCTATGTGGGGGGACCCTTGTGGCCCTGAACCTTCTACACTATCTGATGTCATGCTGAATATTTATGGTTCCCTTAATGGAAACTAGGAAAGGAAGTGAGAAAACAGAAGGCCTTACTGAGAGGACCTGAAGGTTGACCTTCACAGTGCATCCTCAGTGAATCTAGTCTTGGCTGGAGCTTAAGGTGGCTGTAATCTGTGGTCAGTACCCTCACTGAACAGGGCTTATAGTCTGATGGTCAAGCAATGCTGGTGGCCTCTATGGTGGCATTCAGGTTCTGAGCAGGAGCAAGAAAAAGGCACGATGGAGGAGCCAGGTGGAAAGGCCTGGCACGTCTTGAGCTGAGGAGAGCAGGTCCAGTGAGGACTGTCAGGGTATGCAGAGCTCTGTCCTTTCTGGCCCTGAACAGACTGACTGCCCACAGGTCCTTGTCCGGCGACTTGGTGATGGCACAGAGCTCCGTGGCTGCATTGTGGAGACTGAGGCATACGTGGGACCGGAGGATGAAGCTGCCCACTCGAGGGGTGGCCGGCAGACCCCCCGTAATCGCAGTATGTTCATGAAGCCTGGGACCTTGTATGTGTACCTCATCTATGGCATGTACTTCTGCATGAATGTCTCTAGCCAAGGTGAGTGGTACTGGGCATAAGGGAGCAGGAGGGCTGGCAGAGCCCCATCAGCTGGCAGCTGGGGAGGCCCTAGAAGGATGGGTGGGCAGGCATTTGAGCAAGGAGCTGCCATTGCCACGGTTAAGTCTAGGTGTCAGGAGCTCTGGCTGCAGTGATTGGGCAAGGTTAGTTAAAGGGCCTGGGCCCCACAGGTTAGGCTGTAAGGCAGACCTGAGTGTAGAACATACAGGTTCCATGAGCCTCCACTTATCCTAGAGCTTAGAGCTGGTATCAGAGCACTGGGCTAGATTTAGAAAGGGATAGTCTTGGAAAATGAAGGTGACTTTAGTTTGGGATAGATAAGTTGAGCTCATGCAGGAGCTTTTCCAACTGTCCTGTTGAGAATCTAGATCAGTTCTCAGCCAGAGGCAATTTTGCCTCTCAGGGGTCATCAGGCAATGTTTGGAGACATTTTTTGGTCATCATAGCCAGGGGTGCTACTGGCATCTAGTGGGTGGAGGCCAAGCATGCTGAAGTTCCCTACAGTGCACAGGATGGCTTCCACCAGATGATCCTCAAGGTCATTAGCAGAGATGCTGGTCTAGTGCTCCTGGGAGAACTTGCTTTCCTCGGTGTCTGGCTTTGTCCTTGGTCAGTGTGGTATCTCTGGGTGATCTGTATCTGGGAGCAGGAGGGAGGCCAGCGCCTGAGTCCAGAGCACCATCCTGCTAAGCTACTGCTAGGAAGCCAGTCTCAGCATCTGGGCTCTTCCTACTGCTCCCAGACAAGCAAATGCCAGAGGTGGCCAGTGAGGAGCTCATGGTCTGACATGTTGTAGGGTCACACATTTGTTGAACAAGTATAGAAAAAACAGCTGGGGGTGTTTAGTGCAAGAACCTCAAGGGCTGGAGGGCTCAGAGACTGAAGGACTGGCCTCATGGCTGGCATAGAACAAATGTTGAGTGAAACTCTGGTTAACTTGAGTATCAAAAGATGGTGGGAGCCCTTCCTAGAGGCCTGTTTTTACACTGGAGAGTTGATCTGAACTTAGTGTAATGAAACCAACCCTCTCACAGGAGGCACAGCTGAACTCAGGAAGAGATAGCCCAGAAATACTTGGTGCTATGCTTGGCTAGGGAGGGGAGTAGGCATTTTCTGGGAGCATAATAAACAGGGCAGCGGCAACAGTGTGATGTTACTTTCTGAACATGTGACTAATATGCCCCCGAACATCTAGGTTAGGAGACAGGACCCTGCATGGATGCAGATAGACTGGGTCATCCAGAGGCAGAAGCACATGGTTGTTGCCTGCACTGGAGTAGAGGCAGCACATGGAGATCCCAAAGTGATGGTTTGAGAAGAGGATGAGGACTGTGGGGCCCAGAACAGAATTGCCAGGCAATTGTCAGATTGCCAGGGCTAGAGCAGGTGGTGCACAGAAACAAGGGCCAAGGACCAGTACACTTGGCAGGAAGAGGTCAAGGTCTTGTGTTTTTGTCACGATAGAGTACTCTGATGTATCCTGTGCAGGTACCAAGAGAAGGTGTGGCAGTGGCACTTGAGCCACTCCTTTGACCCATTTGCAGGTTGCTCTGGGGGCTGAGACAGCAGGGGCCAGGTGTCCTATACTCACAGGGACTCCTGGTAAAGTAGCTCCAAGTGGTCAAAGAGCAGAGTGGAAATCAGACTGGAACTTCCAGGCTTTCCCAGCCTTGATTATATCCTGAATTTCTTTGAAAACTGGCTGGTTAAGGGCTATCTGCTCACAACCCCGCAGACTTGTCAACTGCAGGCTATGCTGGAGGGCATGGCTTTATCCACTCTGGATTGGTCCTGGGTGCTAATTTGGAGGCTGGACCTGAGAGGAGGCCCATGTGGCCAGGGCCTGAGAATGAAAACTAGCATGCCTACCCCACTGAGTCTCTGGGTCGCAGGACAGCAGCCTTCTGAGGATCAGTAATGCTTTGGCCAGGGTCTGGGTGATCACTATCTGTGACCAGGAATTATAAGGGCCTTCTCAAACAGGCAGGTCAGGGGAATTGGACACCTGCATCTTCATGGGCCCCTGAAGTTGCCTAGACTGGCAAGGACAGGCTGGGCTGCAGGAGATCCCCAAGGGAAGTGGATAGTTTTGTTGTCTTTTTTTTTTTTGGGTGCTGGGGATCGAACTTGCACTAGCGGGGCAGGCGGCGGAACCACTGAGCTAAATCCCCAGCCCCGGAAGTGGATAGTTTTGTATGCACCTCCTCCTGTCATGCTTGCAGAGGGTGTTTATGGTCATTCTTTCCATTGAGTCACCAGACAGGGCTTTCCCAGCATCCTGTGCACACTGGAGGGAACTGCAGCCAGCTTCCCAATTTTGCCCAAGGATGCAGGGCAGGTAAGGCAGATGGAAGCCCTAGGGCCTGGCTAGGGGTCTGGGCTAAGCTAAAACTGTTTCGTATCAGGGTGATGCACCTTTAGGGGCTCCCTTTGCTGGCCTCAGAGCTGCTACCAATCAGAAGACCATGGAAAGCCAAGGAGAAAGAAGGCTGATGCCCATCACTCTACCGTGTGCTCTCACAGGGTCTCTAGTTCTTGCTTCATGGGGGCCAGTGGTAGGGTCCTTGCCTGGTTGGCAGCCAAAGACACCCATAGAAAGCATAGTTACCTTGTGGATGCAGGTGCGTGGGGGAGGCAGGCAGAGGGGCTGGACCATGAGATGCAGACCCATCCCACCAGAGCACACCCAGAAGGCTGTGTGCAGTTGTACACAGAATTTAGGACAGCAGCCATGCAACCCTTGCAACCCTAGATGTGTACCTGAGCAGGGCAGATGGGGGGCTGGAGAGGCTCTGCTTCTAAGCTGTCTGTTCCCACAGGGGATGGGGCTTGTGTCCTGCTTCGAGCACTAGAGCCTCTGGGGGGCCTGGAGACCATGCGGCAGCTACGCAGCACCCTCCGGAAGGGTACCATCAGCCGTGCCCTCAAGGACCGTGAGCTCTGCAGTGGCCCCTCCAAGCTGTGCCAGGCCCTGGCCATTGACAAGAGCTTTGACCAGCGGGACCTGGCCCAGGATGAGGCTGTGTGGCTAGAACGTGGCTCCCTGGAGCCCAGTGCATCAGCTGTGGTAGCAGCAGCCCGCATTGGCATTGGCTGTGCAGGAGAATGGGCTCAGAAGCCTCTTCGTTTCTATATCCGGGGCAGCCCCTGGGTGAGTGTGGTGGATAAAGTTGCTGAGCAGGACACACAGGCCTGAGCAAAGTGCCTGCTTAGACAGCCTTTTTAATTGTTTAAAAGCCAAATAAATGCTTTTTTTCTATGAACTATTGTCCATGTGTCCATCAGAGCCCCCTGGTTAATCAGCATGTGGGTGGGCTGTCCCTTCCTCTAGGGTGGGAGACCTAGGGGCCCTGTGTGTGTGGACCCCAAATCAGTGCATGCGTATACCTCGTAGCAGATTGACCTACCACCTGCCAAGAGCTGCTCCAGTCCAGCTGGGCCTAATCTCACTCCTCATGTGGTCAGGTGATAGTTTAGCTGTGCCTACTGGTGACTTTGTAGGGCTGTGGTAAAGACCAAGCCAGGAGATCCATGGCAAGCTTGGAGAATTGAAGCACACAATGAAAAGTGGCAGTGATGGATGAGGGGGCCTCATCGGATGGGCCAGATACTCAGACTTCACATGCTGATGGCTATCAGAGGAGCGGGAGTAGACCAAACAAGTGTTTCTGCACATTTCCCAGGGTGGCCACGTGGGGCAGGGGATAGGGAGCATGGGTCGGGTTGGGAAAAGGGAAAGAAACAGCCCATATATGTGTGGAAGGAAGGACACACACTTCACCAGAGGCCCAAGTCCTGGAAGTCCCTCAGAGCTCGGTGACGGTAAGACTGTTGGAAGGACCAGATGAGACAGTAAGAGAAGAGTGGTGGCCCCACAGCAACTGTTAAACCATACTGAGGCACCTGCAGCCAGGAGGACAGGGCCCTGTTGGGCTTCTACCTGTGCCATGCCTCTGGGATAAGAGGGCTCAGGCCTGGCAGCGAGGGAGCTCTGGGGTAGAAGAGGCTAATGCCCTCCCATACATTCAAGCAGCTTCTGCATCCTCCTCTTGGGCTCATGTGAGCAGTGCCTGGAAGACAGCAATGACGGGGTCCTCATGAGTAGTCACCACCAGCACGCTGCGAAACTTGTCGAAGAGCATAAGCAGCTGGGAGCGCCGTGTGTTCTCATTGTACATGATCTCTTCCAGGTGGTGGCGGCCTCGGAAGTAGTGAAGGAGCCTGGGGAGAGAGGGTGGCCTGAGCCTAACCTGACGCCAGCCCCCAAAGGCCTCTAACAACATCATGGACCCCATGCCCACCAGTCCCCAGACCAGTGGTGGGCCTGAAGTGAGTCTATGAGGAGGCACAGCTGTTCAAACCCAGAGCCACCCAGGCCTGCATCCTGACGTTGGGAGGGGGCCGACAGAGGGCTTGCTTTTTCCATGCTGTCATGGCACTGAGTCTGTTCACTGCTCCAGTGGCTGTCTGCAGCTGAGGTGGCACAAAAGAGGCCTGGACCAGCAGCTTGGAAGAGCTGCAGATGGTTCTCTCAAGGGTCTGAAGTAGATGCTGACAACCTCACCTCTCGCAGATAACCATGTACCCAGTGGACCCAAGTCAAAGTGGTGGTGACAGACTATCAGGTCACTCTGATGCAGGGATCCTAGACACCCTCCCACCCTGGGATAAGAATTCTGAGTAAATCCCTGCCAAGCCCAATGTGGGTAAGAACTTGCTGCTGCCTCTCAACCAGTGACAAGGAGGAAACTCCCAAAGGTAGAAGCACCAGGTCTACAGCCCAGAGTCCTGGCAACAGCCCACAGGCCCCACACATGAGTAAGTGGTAGTGCTCGCCTTTGTACAAACAGGTACCAGGAGGGCTGGGGATTTAGCTCAGTGGTTCCGCCGCCTGCCTTGCAAGTCCAAGGACCTGAGTTCAATCCCCGGTACCAGAAACAAAATAAAACAAAAAACAGATACCAAGAGGGCACCCCTGAGCACATGAGATACCTTCTCACTGTGACCACCAGCTGTGGTCAGTGCATTTGCACATGTGGTGCTGTCAAGTGTGCCCCCTTCTACTTTCTGCCTTGATTCTAGAATTGGCCCCCACCTGGCAAACATACGGAGGTCCTCAGGGTTCTGGGCAGCAGGCACGCTGAGGATGGCTGCCCGCTCATGCTCCGACAAGCTGGCCAGCAGGTTCTCTGTCATCCTCTTGTTCAGTGGCGAGTCCCCACTAGGGAGAAGCTCTGCACTGGAGTTGTCCATGCTGGGGCTAGTAAGCGTCATGTCGTCACTGCTGGCTATGGGTAGGCAATGGTCAAGGTGGACTCCAGAATGCTAAGGGGTGTTGTAGCAAGGGCAGAGCCAGCAGCCAGCCCACCAGGACACTGCTACAAGGGGTCTTCCTGGAGCCCCAGCTGTACCATCTGTCCCCACCCAGGGTATATCACCCCATCACTGCTACCCCATCCCTTGGATCTGTCACATGCCTTCTAGTGGCTGACCAGGGATGCAGCCTTAGACAAAAAGGGCATGTGGAATCCTGCCCCATTACCCACACAGAGGATGGAACATCCTGCAGGGTGCTCACATGAAGCCTGAAGCTAGAGGAGCACTTCCAAAGCCTTCAGCCCCTTGCCTTGCTCACACCTAGGACTGGGGAACAGGCTGCTGCCTTTGGGGGTACACCATGGCCACAACAGCTCCTCCCACAAGTGACCAGGACAGACAGGGCTCCTCATGGGCCCTCAGGCACAGAGGTTCCAATTGTCCTCATGGTGATGGTATGAAATCCTTCTCTGACCTCAGGCTGGGGCAGGAGGTTCCAGTAGGGATGTGGTGTGCTATGGGCTGCTCCTGATTCCATCAAATCCCTGATAGAATACCTCAGGAGCAGAGTTGCTTCCTTCTCAGAACCATGGTGTTTATATACATGTACCAACTCCCCATGGTGAATGTAATCATTATGTACTGCAAATATGTGTTAATAAAAATAAATAAATAAGCCTTATAGGTGCCTCACAACTGGCAGGAAGGGCAAAAAAAAAAAACAAACCAACAAAAAAAACCCATGGTGGTCCAGAGAGAGAGGTCTCCACAGCGGACATTTGGACAGGTATGTGTATGTGGACACACGGTGTATGTACCCATGTGAAGGCACCTCTGTCACTCCAACAGTGCCCATGTCAGGCTTTCTGGCTGCCACCCCCAGTGTCTCCCCAAACTGCCAGAGATATGCTAGGAGTGGGATCCTACTTGGGGAGCCAAAGCTTAGGGCGTTGGGTGTGCTGAGACTTCGGCTGCCAACTCGGGCAGTAAAGGGGACATCATCCTCCCGTAGGCGGGGCTCTTCTTCACTAGGTGAGGCCATCAGGCAGACGTAGGTGTGCAGCTGGATGAGGAGCCGTCGCTGCAGCATCCATACCACCATCTGAATGAGCTGGGTCTGCAGGCAGGAAGCATGAGGCAGTGAGTGAGGCTGGCTTCTCAGCCCAGGCCCAAACCCGTTCCAGAGGATGAGGGAGCCACGACCCTAGACAGCTCCAACACAGTCTCTGCTGCTAGGCAGGAATGCCTCTTCAGAAAAGAAGCCTCTAGATGCTAGCTGGCTCTGCAAGGCCAGGAGAATTCCCAGATCATACACACCTTGGTTGCTCCAGAGTCTGATGGAGGAGTAAGACCTGGGGCATGGAAGCCCCTGTGCACTCCTTTTTCTAAGCTGACTTCCCCTAAAGCTGCCCACATTCTGCATCTCTTCCCTTCAGCCAACTGGGCTTGCTGCTGGACCTAGCTTCCAGTCCACTGCCAGGCAAGTCCATACACTGTTCAGAAACAAGCTGTGGGCAGCTGCCCTGTGAACAGCAACTTGGATTTACCTGAAAGTCTACTCTAGGCACACAGGTGGTTCTGAAGGAAGCTGGGAAAGGGGATCCCCTGCTTGAGTTGCAGCTATGCCCTTCCTCATTATTAGGCACCCCAAGGCCAGGATCTCTATGTCTCTGGGTTAGCAGGTTGGGCAGCAGAACCTTGTGCCTGGTGGACCCTCAGCACCAGAGACTGGTACCTCCCAGACATAGTACCTTCATGACATACGAAACAAGGTGGGTGCAGAGGGCATCAGGGTTATCTTTGGGAGGGTCCACAAGGAGCTGCTAACCAGGGTCACCTCCTGGGAGGGGCTGGGTTAATTGGGGGGAGGAGTGGGGGATATACATACTAACTGTGGTCAAAACCAAATAAAACTTAAAAGACTGCAAAATAACTCAACAACATAAAATTAAGAAATAAAGCAAGGACCTGGATACCATGGTGTACACCTGAAATCTCACTTCCTCAGGAGAAGGAGGCAGGAGGATCACAAGCTCAAGGTCAGCCTGTCTCAAAAATTAAAAAAATTTAGCCAGGCATGGTGGCATACACCTGTAATCCTAGCACTCTAGGAAGGTGACACAGGAGGATTACAAATTTGAGCCCAGCCTGAACTATATAACAAGAACCTATCTCAAAAAAACAACAAAACAGTCTGGTGTGGTGGTGCACACCTGTAATTCCAGCACTCAGGAGGCTAAAGTAGGAGGATCACCATGAGTTTGAGACCAGCCTGGGGTATATAGTGAGTTCAAGATCAGCCTGAACCACACAGTGAGACCCTGTCTCAAAAAATGAAACAACAAAACAAAACAGGCCGGGGATTTAGCTCAGTGGTTCCGCCACCTGCCTAGCAAGCACAAGGATCTGAGTTCGATCTCTGGTACAAAAAAAATAAAATAAAAAATGAAACAACAAAACAAAACAAAGGGCTGGGATATATCTCAGTTTAGAGTGTTTGCCTAGCACGTGTGAGGTCATGAGTTCAATCCCCAGTACCACAATAAAGAAAACAAGGTGCTGCATAAATACTAGATAGCATGTCCTTCGACCTGGTAGAACCTAATCTGGCTCTATCCAGCCCTTGATAAGGTTGGAGGCTGCTGATCAGGCATGCCCTGGAAAACCCATCCCATTATGCAGACCACTAGGAAGCTTTACTGAGATGGGAGCACCACCACACCCTCCCCCATACTGCCCAGGCGGGTGCAGATGCAAAGTGTATCTTATTCAGTTGGCATGGTTCCTGGAAACTAAGGGCTCTATAAAAGATGACATTTAGAATTCTGTCACACTCAGCATCTAAATGAGCTGAAAAACCAGCATCTTATTTTCATTCACAACTTGAGAAGGGAAAGGGTTTGATTTTAAGGACTGACTTTGCCCAGTACATCTGGCACTTAGTAAGATAAATGCTTTGGTTTTGGAGACAAAGCCCTGAGAACATCCAGCCTGTCTCCTACACTTGGTCCTATCGTCTGGCCCTGCCTGAGTTTCCCTCACCCAGTCTAGGCTCTCAGTGGAGGGCTGGGGCAAAGCCTGCAGCTTCTCTATCATCATCTCAACAGGAGGCTGTGAAAAGTGACACCTTGTGGCCCATAGGGGAAGCCACCAACAGCAAATTCATTCTCTACACCTGCAGGACACTGTCAAACCTACCCCCAACCTGCCTGTCCCAGGTCATTGGGTAGGTGCTGACCCAGGCTGATCCGATGTTTGTCTTCTTGGATGAGGAGACTTTAGTCCCCAGTAACTCCAGAATACACAAACACTGTGGCCTCTGAATGCCCAGGAGAGGGGGTAGGAGTCAAGCCCTCTTGGAGGGCAGATCCCAGGCTGGGTAGAAATTGCCTTTCTATCCTCCACCTGTGGGAAACCCGTAGGCCTAGAACAGAATTCTGTCAGCCCAGAAAAGGGCAGCACTCTCCCACCAAGCTTACAGCCAAAATGGGCTCTGTGGATGTGAACGAGTACATCAGCAATAGGTTACTAACCAGCAGCTCGCTCCTGGGTTACCTGCCAGGTACACAGCACCTGCACAGCAAGTTCCCCAAAATGAAGGCAAAGCGGGAGGCAGTGCTGAAGATCCTTGGCTCATGGATGGATGGCCAGGCAGTTGGTACCCAGTCCAGCTCGCACACCAGATGCCAGGCTCCTGGGGCCTCTGCAACTCACCTCCTGAACAGGGGGGGCCAAAGGGTTCCTAAACTCTGACAACGAAACGGGCAAGGAGAACTTGGCAAGGATGGATGGCAGGTCATGGGACGGAAACTGGCGGGAGAACTGCTCAGCCAGCGGGGAGTACCTGGGGAGAACGAGATGGTGATCAGCCAGGGACTGGCTAGGGACTGCCAAATAGTGGTGAGCATAGCAGGCCCAAGGCAGCACCCTTACAACAGGCCCTCAGTGGGCAGCAGAGAATCGAAGCACAGTGGGTGGGCCACAATGGTGTAAGGAGGACAGAACGGTGAATGACAAAGCAGAGCACGATAGATGTTCAGGTGGACAGAGCCCAGGTACTTTTCCTTGAGGGGTGGCAGGAGCCAGTGCATGGGTCAGCCAGAATCTCTCTCTGATCTCAGACAGGAGGAGGTCCCCTGACACAGGCAGGGCTACTCAGCACTGAGCCAGATCAGAATTGGGACATGGACACAGCCGAAGCCAGCCATTAGGTTGAAATGAGAGCCTGGTCTCAGGGGCCCCCAGAGCCTCTGGTGCCTGGCCAACCTGGGGCACCACCTGGTAGGCCCTGCTAGCTCACCCTTCCCTACTCTGGGTTCCCACCTTGGCCACCAGTGGTACTCACAAACACACGCTGGCATTGGGAGACAGCACGTAGACATTGTTTTCACACAGCGGGTAGATTATGACAGCCTTGCCCCAGTATACCAGGTGAGCTGCAAGCTGGAAAACCTGCAAGGCAAGGGAGTTGGAAGGACTGAGCCTGGGAAGCTGTGGCTTCTCTGCCCTGGAAAATGGCCCAAAGCTCACACAGCACAGACCTTGTGGCTGTGGCTCCCTAGGCTTTCTTCCCTGATGTGGGGTAGGACCTTACAATCCTCCCACCAGCATGCTGGACAGAGCTAGTGCAGTGTTTCCTGCCTGTGCTCAGAACACAGTCTTTTCACCACTATGCTCTGTGCTGTTTGATACCATCATTTCCCTGCCAGGGTCCTGTGCTCTGTTGGCTCCTTCTTTGTTTTTGTTTTTTAAGACAGGGTCTCATTCTGTAGTTCAGACTTGCCTTGAACTCACTATGAATGCCAGGCTGGCCTTGAACTTGCAGTGATTATTCTGCCTTGGCTTTCCGAGGGCTGGGACTATAGGTGTATGCCACAATGCCTAGCTTGTTTGGCTCCTTCTGAGGAACGGCGCTGTCAAGCTCAGACAGTAAGCCATAAGCAGGGTAGACTGAGCTGGGCAAGGGGCTTGGCTAGATGTCCCAGCAGAGGCACACCCCTCTCACATTCACCAGGACCTCAGCATGGCCTCTCCCAAGAAATGTACCACCCTTGCACACCCAAAGGCCCCACATTCGTCCCTGTGTTCCCACCTTTCCCTAGAGAACACCACACCATCCTGCTTCCCTGGGCCCTTGGCTGCCATGAGACACAGACAAAGATGCCAGAAATCCTCTCCAGGAGAAACCTCAGAGCACTCCCAGCTCATGTGGGAAGCAAAGTCTTGACAGCACAGCACTGCAGTCCTTCACAAGGTATGTGAAGTCCCAAGCAGCTGGCTTTTCTGCCTGTGTCACCCACTCTTATCTTCTCAACAGGTCAGCCTCCACCGTGGTGAGTCACCCTGCCTGGCCACAGTGCCTGCAATGCTGCTGAGGATGTGTTTATTTTCTCAGCAAACGGGACCCCACTGGCACCATCAACTCAAACACTGAGGAAATAAACATTAGGGAAGGCCCCATCACTGCCCTTCTTTTCTGTCAGTCCACTGGTCAGATATGAGCTCTCAAGCAAAGACAGACCCACTTTCTCTATCCCAGCCACCAGCTGGCTTAGTGGTCTTCAACCCTCAGGTCTCTCTGGCCCCCTAACATGTTCTCCACAAGGCAGCTGGAGCACCATTCTAGACGGTACAAGTCCAAAATCAGTATCACAAGGCCAGATGTAAAGTGCTAGCAAAGCTATGTTCCTGAAGCTCTAGGAGAGAATTTGCTCATACCTCTCCCAGCTGGTGGCATTCCTTGGCTTGCAAGCCACATCACTCCAGTCTCTGCCTCTGTCACATCGCTTCCTTCTCTTCTGTAGTCAAATCTCCCTCTGCCTCTCTCTTAAAAGAATTCTTGTAAAAACATTTAAGGCTCACCAATATAATCTTCCCATCTCAAGATCCCTGACTTCTTAATATCTGCAAAGTCCTACATGAGGCCACATCCATAGGTCCTCGGGATTAGGTTGTAGTTGTCTGTGGAGGCTATCATTCAGCTGGCATGTGTTTCACTGGGCATGATGGCACATCCTTAAAGTCCTAACTACTTGGAAGGGTGAGATAAGGAGGATCACTTGAGCCCAGGAGTTCAAGGCCAGGCTGAGCAACATAGTAAGACTGGGTCTCAAAAAGTAAACATGAAAAATAATGAAAAAAGAAAAGAAAACAAAAAGAATGTATGGACATACATAAGAATCTGGAAGATCTATAGTGGTTACCTCTGGGAAATGAGATTGTATGGACTTTGTAATTTGTGCAATATTTGAATTTCCATAAGTATTTTTTTGAGACAGAGTCTTACTGTATATTCTAGGTTGGCCTTGAACTCACTATGTAGTCTAGGCTGGCCTTGAACTTGCATTGATTCTCTGGCCTCAGCCTCCTGAGTGCTGGGATTACAGGCATGTACCACCACACCCGGTTTTTTTGTTTGGTTTTTTTTTTTTTTTTTGATACTGGGGTTGAACTGAGGGCCTTGTACCTGCTAGGCAAGCACTACACCACTGAGCTGCATCCCTAGTCCTTTTTTTTTTTTGGTACTGGGGATCGAACTCAGGTCCTTGGCTTTTGAGGCAGGCGGCAGAACTACTGAGCTAAATCCCTGGCCCCCTGGTCCTTTTTTATTTTGAGAGAGAGGGTCTCACCAAGTTGCCCAGTCGGGCCTCAAGCTTGCAATCCTTGTGTCTCAGCTCTCCAGTAGCTGCGATTACAGGCACGTACCACCATGCCTGGCAATTATTTTATCATGACAAAAATTTTTTTGATCCTCTTTGGCGTGAGATGGATGGAACATGAGTGATTTTAAATCATCTTGTGACACTTACACCTGAGGTAGCTGCTCCCCACAGGGCCAGCACTACTTGAGGCCACTGCTCCCCATGCAACATCTACAGGAAACAGCACTCCCAGAGGTTGGCAGGGTAAGCCACAAGGGCTGAGCCCCAGAGGACTTCCACATAGCCATATCAGCAGCAAACCCTGATTGGCACCAGTCCAGCAGGGAGGGGTACAGAAGGAAACAACATCAAACTGCTTCCCCCGCCCCAGCCCAGGCAAGGCAGGAAAGTGAAGGGAACATCAAAGGGGGACATCAAAGCTTTGTCCAAGGGACTCTGACAGCAGGGTGAAACACAACCAGGACAGACCCATCAGCCAGCCTCAGTCAAGAGTGGCCAGATCTAGGCCGGGGATTTAGCTCAGTGGTTTCGTCACCTGCTGCACAAGTGTAAGGACCGGAGTTCAATCCCTGGTACAAAAAAAGAAAAAAAAGAGTGGCCAGATCCTTTCAAAGCTTAAAATAGGACACATAAACACTCACACTTATCTACCACGTAGCCAGTACTTGTTAGAACAGAGGCCATGATCCCTCATTCTGCAGGTGTATTTAAAGTTCTGTGTCCTGTGGTACAAAGCAGAATGTGCTCACTACTGGGTCCTGTCCAGCTCCAGCCCAGGAGACCAGACTGAACTACCAAAGTTGGAATTCGCCAAATACCCTTACAGAGCAGACAAAGGGTCTGGGTAAAGAAGATGAAAGAATTCATTCTGAACAAGAAAATAAAAAAACCAGCTTGGAAAATATAGCCTGAGTGTCAGTCAGGCCTAAGAAGTAAAGTCCACCAGCAAAGCCAACACCTTCGCTAGACAAACCTTCCCCAGGAAGCTCAGCTGGAGGGGCTTAAGCAGGCCTGCCTCAGGTCAGTGCTGCTCCTCCTCAGCCACTTGAGAAGGCAGCCACAACCTAGGCCTTTAAGGAAACTTGGTTTGCGGGCAGGCCTCTTCTGCCCCCAGGTGGCCAAGTGGCACACATCACTACCAGATCCTGAGTCTCAGCTACCCAAAGATATCTATCTAACCCTAACCCTGGTCCTACCTTCAGGCTGTCACTTGGATGGCACCCACAGTTCTAGCCAAGGTTGCCCAATTAGCAGCCTGGGTCCTTTGCCACCACACAACATCAAATAGATCCATGGCCAAAGGACAGCTCACAAGCCCATGGCTCATAAGAAGGTGGCTACTTATACCAAGAACAGCATCTAGTGTATGTGCAGCACATGGTAGGGTGAGGCTACCAGTTCAGTCCTGGCTCAGGTTCAGGATCCATGTAAACTTCCAGCTCTCATTTCCCACAGGCTTGCTCATGTGCCACTGTGAGATTCCCATGAGCTGGCTGATATCCTCCATGCTCCTCCTCCCTCTCCCATAACACCTCAGCCCTGGTGTTCTATCCTTTAGACCTCTACCCAATGCAGCAGGTACCTCCCTCCTTTCTCCCACATCTTATCTTGCCTCACCCGCCCCCCTTCTCTTGAGACAGGCAGTCCCATAGCTACCTCACAAAGCCAGCTCTGCACCCAGGTCTGACTTAGATGCTAAAATCTCAAGCCATGCTAGGAACCACCTAGGTCCATGGCAGCCTGTACAGTAGCTCTCAACTGGACAGAGACCCTGGGAATGTGGCATAGCTGGCAGTCTGCTTTTCTGAGCCTCCCACCTTTACTCAGGGGCTGCCTGCTATGGATGCACCCAGGGGCCAATCCCTTCTACTCATCCAGGTTCCCAAGGCCCTACCTGCAGCAAGGCCAGGTCAGCATCCTGGGCTAGCTGCTGCAGGTTCTTCACAGCAGATGTGGTCTTGATCACCCGCACCAGCGCTGGGGAACAGTCGACAGGCAGCTCACTCAGCAGGGACTTCTCATCATTGAGCAACAGCAGAGCATGATATGGGCTAAGGAACAGAGTCACAGGTCATCAGGACATGCAGAATTTCAGGGCACCTTACACCAAGTATGTTCCTTCTCTTTTTGGGGGTGGGGGGGTTGTTTTTTGGAACCAGAGATTGAACTCATGACCTTGCGCTGATGAGGCAGGCGCAGTGTCACTGAGCTAAATCCCCAGCTCACCACGTATGTTCCTAGAACATATCAAGGCACAGCTGGGGCCCACAGGCACTGAACTGTGGAGAAGAGAGACTAAGGTAGGAATCAGAGGAAAAGCAGGTAGTGTCCAAGGGCATTTATACAATTTGCACAGATTATTGTTACCCTTCAAAGAAAACAAATTAGCACAAAACTGGGAGGTCTTGAACACCTCACTACATATCCCATCTATGGCTTTGCCCAGCACACATTTGCAGATTAAAGAAATAAATGAATCTTTCCTAAGGAAATAGTCCCAAACAAGGGGATAGCAAAATCCTCTCCACAGATTATAAATAGAATTACATAAAAATTTGCTTAGCAAAGACCCTGGGAAGGAAGGCATCTGAGTTGGAGCACAGATAGGGGAGGGTAGGAGGACTAGACAGTATTGTGCTTTCTGTGTCCAGATTCCTTCCTTCTTTCCTTTTTTTTTTTGGATACTGATGATAGAACTCAGGGCCTTCACACAATGACCTACATATATTTTAAGGGAAATTTTTTTTTTGGTACTGGGGATCGAACTCGGGTCCTTGTGCTTGCAAGGCAGGCAGCAGAACCACTGAGCTAAATCCCCGGCCCAAGCTACATATATTTTGAGACAGTCTCAGTAAATTACTAATTGCAATCCTCCTGCTTCAGTCCCCCAGAGGGCTGGGATTATAGGCATGCATCACTATGCCTGACAATTTTTCTTTTTTTGCAGCACTGGAGATCACATCATGATAGGCAAGTGTTCTAGTGCTAAGCTAGATTTCCAGGCCCAGATTTCTTTGTGTTTTTTTTCTTGTTTAAATTTATTTTTTATTGGTACATTTTATATACACATGATGATCATATTTATCCTAGGGTTATCCTAGGGAATTTGCACTTGTATATGATATAATCTTGCTTCTTCTTCTTTTTTTTTTTTTTGGTACCAGGGATCAAACTCCGGTCCTTGCTTGCAGGGCAGGTGGAGAAAACACTGAGCTAAATCCCTGGCCCTCCTGCTGCTTCTTTTTTTCCCATTCCCATTCCTTCCCTTCGATCCCTCTTGAGGGTTTCCTTTGAAGACAGATTTGTTTCTTTAAAAAAAAATTAAAGCCACTTCTCTTTCTAAGAAAACACTGGTACCTCCACCCCTCAACTCCCAGTCTTGGCTTGGTGGCGGTTGTTGGAGTGAGACCTCCAGGACAGCAGGCAGCGATGCGGACACTGCTCACACATTCCCCAACACCCTTTCTCTCAGCAATGGCAGGTGATGATACCTTTTCTTTGGTTTTTTTGCTTTGTTTTGTTTTGTTTTTTGGTACTGGAGATCAAACTCGGGACCTTGTGATTGCCAGGCAGGCACTGGAACCACTGAGCTAAATCCCCAGCTCTTTTCTTTGTTTTTTGAGACAGGGTCTCACTATGTAGTTCAGGCTGACCTTGAATTCACTATGTAGTTGAAGCTGGACTTGAACCTGCAGTGATCCTCCTGCCTCAGCCTCCTGAGCACTAGGATTATAGGCTTGCACCACAACACCTGGCTAAGACACCAGTTAAATTACAAAACTGAGATCCCATGATTTCTGACTCAAGTACGCAGGATCATGGGGTAGAAAGCACTATGAAGATAAATCCCCCAAAGGCCATGCTTCTCCCCTTGCTCAGCCACACAACCTTCCCAGCAGGCTACTCTGCTCAGGCCCGAGGGAAGGACTTTGGCAGGAAGCCCCACTCACCCAAGTGGTGCTGGGAGGGCTCAGGGGAAACCTGGAATGGGTGATTTCGAGACAGAAGTGGATAGAAAAATCATATGTTTTTCCTAATAACTGGCTTCTACCTGTCAGCTTTTGTGGCAGAAAGAGGCAAAGAGAACTTTTGGAATAAAAATAATTGGTAAAGCTCAGCAGCTACTGTACTTGCAGGGAGTGTGCAGGTGGGCTGGTTCTCACCGGATGGCTTTCAGGCTCCGTTCAATGGCCTCGGGAGGGATCAGGCTTGAGGAGGCATAGTGGATCTTGTGGGGCAAGCAGAAGCTCACTTCTAGCCAGCTGTTGATGTGAAGTCGCACCACACCAGATGTACACAGGCTGCAGAGAGTGGGCATCATTACCAGTTCACACAGGAATTTTCTAAACACATGCATGGATCACAACACCCCACTCAAAAGTGCTGCTCCCAGTACCATGCCCTGTTGGTTGGAGGAAACTTCAGGTGGAAACCTCATAGGATCTCAGTATACTTATTATATTAGGAATATACACACACATATGCATTTCTGGTTAGCCCTGAATACATACTCCAAACACCCTGCCAGAACTCAGGGGAAGCATCTTCTATCTATTCTAGAGGCTCAATGCTGCAGAGGCATCTAATCAGGCCTTCTGCTAGCCCAGGCTTCTGGCAGACAACTAGCACCCAGAGTATGTCCTCCCTGAGAAGGGAGCTGCTCTGCACACCTGATATAGCTCTGCACATCTGATACAGGTCCAGTCACCAATTGGAAGCCAGGCAGAGTATGGCCCGTCTCCAAAGAGGAGGTGTGTGGGCCGGGGATTTAGCTCAGTGGTTTCGCTGTCTGCTGCGCAAGTGCAAGGACCTGAGTTCCATCCCCAGTACCAAAAAAACAAAAAAAACCAAAGAGGAGGTGTGTGTGGTCAAGTTCCCTAGACCATTCTAGTGGTGAGAAGTAAAAACTGCCGAACTTCCTCTACCTTGCAAGTTTCAGCAGCACCCCATGTGTAATGCATGTCGATACCAAGCTGTAGATACACAGGTGACTGTCTAACCTAGCCCTGATACCCCCGCCCCCACCATCACACTAAACCTTTTGCTCCAAGATCTTTCAATGACACCAATTCAGTTCCTTCAGGCTCCAAACCACACTCAGGCCAAACACAACATTGTCCCTGACTCCTTGTTTATCAGCAAATTCTATCTGCTCCATCTGTAGGGATGTCCAGAATCCAGATCTTTTCAAACTGTCCAGAGCACCAGCCCCCAAAGATGCCCCTCCAGTCACCCTCCTCACAGCCCCACAGTTCCCATCCAAGGCCCTGCAATACAGAGCCCAATGTGATCTTCCCATGTTTTTCTGACCTCATTTCCTGCCCCATCACTCAGATCTAGCCATTCTCAGCACCCTGGCACTTGCTCTCAGCCATGAACTCTCTTCCTAGATGCCCCAGAGCGCCTTCATTCCTTCAATCTCAAGTGCCACTTTCTCAGTGAGGCATCCCTTGACCCCAGGCCCCATCAGTACTCTGACCCTTCTACCTGCACTCTTACCCTGGTCCCTGCATCATGGAATGCTGTCTGCTGTCTAATGCTGTCTCCCTGACCACAACACATTCATGAGGAGAGGGTTGTGGGTTCTGTTCCCTGCTCACTGCACCCTTGGTCAAGTGTTGGGCATGTGGTAGCATGAAAAACATGGCATGAGTGGAGAAAGGAAAGGGGCCCAAGAAGCAAGCTGGACTCCTGGGTGCACTGTCTTGCCCAGGGACTCTTATCTCTGAGGACAGGCTCCTGTGTGGCTCTGCCAGGAGTCCCTGAGGAACCACACCCAGGAGGAGGGAGGGTATCATGGGGGAGCCAGCCCCTTTCATGGCTCAGCCACATAGTCCCTGTGCTAAGTGCCAATAGTACTTGGTGAGTGACATGAAGGAACTGCAAATGCTCAAGCAAAGCCCCTGCAGCTAGTCCTCAGTGTGCCTCCAGGACTTCAGGCTTTGGTGGTAGCATGTGAGACCTGGCCTGAGGAAATTCCTGTGCTCCCTGAGGCCTGCCCAACTCAGCCAGGTTGGAAAAGCCAGGGAGGCACGCACCCTCCTTCAGCCTGGGTAGGGAATGCTCCATAAGGCCTCCTGGTGACAACTCAGTTCTTAAACAAGAGCAAAGTACGTATCAGTTCTTCTCCAAGCTGCCAAATTTCTACCACGCCTCCCCCATCATGTTTCCTCAGTTTGCTACCCACCATCCAGGACAGCAGCCAAGAAGTGCTTTTCCCATCACCCTTGACCCCAACTCTGCTATTCTCGGCTCCCAGACACCCACATTCAGCTACGTGTGGCGTAGGCTAGCAGCTCCAGGATCTTTGGCAAGGAGCTCTGCCTGCCCCAGGTCAGAAGGTACAAACAGCTCCTCATCTCTCTCCCAGACACACAAATGCCAGGCACTGAAAGGTGGCCAGTGGGGAGCCAGCACACAGTCCTCCCTCCTGGCACCCACAAACCATCCTTACAACCGGCTCCCTAAAGCCTAAAACCACAGACCAATAGCCCAAGCTTCTCTTAGGTCCTCTGGAGGACTAGCAGTGGTGGCAGCCAGCAGTTTAAAATACAAAAACAAGTCTTTATTCCCTCAAGCAGGGAACAGGCAAGGGGAAAGAAAACACAGAACACATCTGTGACCCCAACGACCCCAGCATCCCTGCCAACACCAACCATCTGGTTACTGCAAAGTGACCCACGACTGCCCAACCCCCTTGGTATTCTTTGCTGGGGCATCTGAAAACTCATGCTGTTTTTCTTAGGGCCTCAGCACCACCAAGGAAGGGTGCAGGGCAGGGGGTGGAGGGTGGGGATGGTTGAGTCTGGAGGGTGAAGATGGCCCAGTCCTTCAGGAAGGAACAAATGAGAGGGTTTGGTAAGTGTCAAGATGGGTTCCCAGAGGACAGCACTACTCTTGGTTTCTTTCAAACATGCCTGAGTATGCAAAAGACCTGTACTCTTCTTTGGCCAGGATTTTTGCTAAGTAGAAAGCTCATATCAAACCCTGAGAAACAGCTGGGCTCTTAAAGATTCAAAGATTGCACCATGAGAGATTTGTCCAGGGAACCAGGTTAGTTGCTCTACTTGACTGAGCAACAACTAAGATCTCAGTATCCACATATGAAATGGAAGAGGAACAAGGGAAAGAAGGTCCAATGTGCTGTGCTATAGCTGTCTCCATGGAAACCACTGGGTAGACTCTTCTCCTTTACATATGGTCAGAAAGGCAAGTCAACTGAAAATAAAAGGTCCTTCTATTTTTTTTATAGTTTATTTTATTTTATTTCTACTTGTTGGTCCTTCTGTTTTTGAACTGTCCTGTTTATGGTATAGCTTAAGGTAGCTGCTAGAACACAGAACTGAAATTAAACACATGACTCTTACCATTTCAAACACAGCTGTTTCTGCTCTGCCAGGGAGCTCAGCAATGCTACATGTAGGAGACTGACTGAAAGGTACTGAGGCTCCCAGCATTGTTTCAGACCCCACTCTGCTACTCCCAGCTCCCAGTCGGGTAGAGAGGCCAAGATACTCACATTCAGCCAAGTGTATGGCTATGTCTGATGCTAATGCTGTGTCCCTGACGACAACAGACTCTTGAAGAGGGGCTCTGTGAGGGGCTTCCACTCAGAAGCACTGGCAAAGACATACAATGATAAACTGTATGGGACACATGAAACTGCAAAGAGTTACAGGAAAAGGCACAAGCAGAGGGTAGAGGCATCTGCGTAAGAGTAGGGGGATTGGGAAAGATCTCATGGAAAGCCAGAAACTACTGCCAGCTATGGTGAAAGGGAAACCAGGGGACATTAGGGCCTCTGTAGCATCTGCCAAGCTCAGACATGTCTGCTATTCTTACATCAGCTGACTCCAGATCTCCTGACCATGGTCTGTTTCATACAACAGTACAGGGGAAATACACCCACGTTGGTTTCCATGTGGACTTTACTTCACTCTCCCAAGCACCTACTCACCTGCCAGCCTTTTACCTCTGAACACTATGCACTAAGGATGGTGCCTCTTTATGAACTAACCAAGCTCTAAGCTCTGTAGTGTGAAGGCACTGAGGGCCACCACCAGGAGCACCCTGAGGAACATCTATAGGCCTGGTACACCAGGAGGAAAGCTGCACTAGGAATGTGCCTGCCTGACCTCCAGCCTGCAGCTTTGGAAGAAGCCCATAAATTCCTCACAGCAAGAGGGTAAGCCAAAAACCACACAAACTCTTTCAAGAAGAGGGAAGAAAAAGGTTTGGCTCTATTTTTTAAAGTCTGCAGTTTTAAAACTCTGGGATTTGGGCCCTACTTTCCTGTAGTTTATATTTCTATTTTCAGAGTGGTTAATGGTTTAGTCTGAAAACAACTCTATAGGAAAATGCTGTCCCCCAGGCTTATCCACACCTCATGCAGCCAGGAGAGCCCAGCCCAGTCTGTAACAGGAGATAGATGCTCCTGCCAGAGTCCAGTGTCCTGATGCAATGACTATGCAGAGGGGACACACTCTTATCTTTCACACTCAAGATGTACTGTATACATGCTTATCCAATTCCCCTCACATTTCAGCATCTGAGAAAGAAAGCCAACTCCCAACTTTCAGCTAATAACTGAATGTTTGCTTTTTGGTCTTATTCTAGTCATGCTCTCCCCACCCTAGGACAGAGTCATGTAATACTGTCCCACACACTCTGCATCATCTGGTCCCACACAAGGGCTGAGCTCTCTACTACATGTGGTGGGATGCTACATGACCCAAATGATATCAGTGGGCTACAAAGGGCTTACCTTGAAATTCTGATCAGACCTTTATATCTAGATGCATTTTTGGAAATAGGGACTGTAGCTTTCAGCAGAATACTTGCAGTGCCATCACAGGCTCAAGACTGCTCTGAACAGTGAGCAGTATAAGACTCCATACTGAGCACCACCTGTCTAGCCACACCCTGGGCAGTATTTTCCAACCTCTGAGCTTGCCAGACCTGACTGCAGGCCGTTAACTGAGAACCATTCAATAAACTAATTCTTCACCCCATGGGATCTGTATCATTACTTCTACCATCACACATAGCACTGGACAAGCTATGCTCTTTCACATTCTGAATACAAGGGCTTTGTTGCAGAAAGTGAAGAGACACTTGTTTGATCCCCGGTACCAAAAAGAAAGTGAAGAGACGCATCTCTGCCCTCCTAGGGGATGCAGTTCAGTGGTCACATGAATGAGTGAGATGCTATCACTGAGGTCATAGAGCTCCACAGGGAGACACAGATGCTGGGACAGCTGGGGTAGCCTCCTGAGGGATTTACATTCCCAGCTTATGTTCACAGACACATAGGTCCCAGGGTACAGGGCTACCAGTCTACTTAGACACACTATAACCTTTGCTTATAATTAAAATAGCAAATCCAAAAAAATTCCTTTGAAGAGTTCCACTCTAATTTTTCTAATCTCATTAACTCTAATAGCTTCTGGTCTTTCAGTTCTGCTCTAAGAAAAGCTTTCCAGGGATCTGGCAGAAAGTCACTGTTGGAAGAAAGGGGCTATATTCTATGCTACCTTTCAACATCATGTACTTAAGGGTCCCCTTTTAGTGTGGACAGAGCAGGGCCTCAAGGCTAACCACAAACTTGGTGGGATGAGCATGGAAGTCCACATCCCAGAAGGCTCTTGGGTAGCTGCAAAGCTATGCTAGCATCAGGAGGGGGTGTGTACAGGGGAGGATGCCACCACCAGGACTTCTGCCAAAGAGGTACACCTCTCAGTATCCCTAGGGCAGGCTCCAGGACCCAGGACAGGCTGGGTGGGAGTCACTTAGAGAGAACACAATCCTAGACACTAACAAACAAGATCCCCAGGCAAGGAAAGAACACTAGAGAAAGCCTAGGCCCCTTTATCACCAAGAGTTTCAATACCTGTCCTCCTCTGAACTATGTAACTCACTAGGTGACCCTGGGTCACTTCAAGCTCTTAGAGGCTCCTCCACAGATTACAGAAGCAATCAACTGGACAAGGTCTTGATTCCTTCAAACTTTCCACCACAATCCAAACATAAGAAATCCCAGTCCATTCTTCCTTTAGAAATATAAAGTCACTGGCTTGCTTTTTCATTCCAGGTGAGCCTGACTTTTGCTTGCAGTCTAATTCTAGTTGAGGCATGCAGATTCCCACTCAGAATAAGGCAGCAAGGAAGGGATTTATGATACCAGCCAATTCAAGACAAGAAGTCAACAGTTCTCTCACTACGGAGAAAATGTCAATGAGACAATGTGAAGAACAAAGACATGGTCTGATTACAAGGACCACAAAGTTCTTGCTCTGGGGCAGGATCAAGGCTCTATGGAAAAGTCCTCCAGAACAGAAAGGACAGGAAACCAAAGCAGTCATTTGGCAAAGGCTGTTTCAGGCTACTGTGACATCTTCTAACACTTGGGAGGGCCACATCCAGAGGTTACCAAGAAACAAAGAACTACTAGTTCCAACTAGTATCAAAAAAAGACAAATCTCCCTCCTTGTTAAGGCACCTGTATTTCCCTGTAAAAGAAAAGAGAAAAAGAGACCTGAGCAGAGCACCCACAGAAATGAAAATACAGATAGTTCCAAGATGTGAAGTGATGCATAAATGCATTAAGATAACATAGGACCAAGATATCATTCTCCTATCTCTGTTAAAATTCAAATGTTCACCAAGACCCAGTGTTGGCAAAGCTAAGGGGAAAGGTTCTCATGAGTTGCTGGTAGGGATATAAATGAGGCACAAACCCCCAGAGGGAAACACATCAATATTACACATGGATTTTACCCACAGATAATGCTTTTAGAAATTTATCTTAGGGATACAGAGGTGCACACACAAATGTGTAAGTAGCTCATCTTATAGCAGCCAAAGGCTGCAACCAATTAAATGCCCAAGAGAGGGGGCTGGCTGACTGACTGAAAAAAAAAAAAGTCCTTATTTACCAATACACACCGTTGAATAGCAAAAGCAAAGGGCAGATAGTATGCTTACTGTGCTACTACTGTGTAAAAGGGAAAGCAAGTCTGTGTGCCTTCAGCCATCTGTGAGGGAGGACAGGTGACAGCTGCCTGCTGGGATGAGTCCTGCCAGGGTGCAACAGAAAACACACTTGACATGGATTTTCAAACTAAATGAATATGTGACCATTTCAAAACCTGCAGTTTTTTTTAAAAAAAAGGAATGAAAATTACCCAAAAACCATGTTTACAGTGATTATTGCCGTATGGAATTATAAATGACTTATTTTCTTTACTATCTTCTAAGCCTCCTGTCTACAATGAATATTGTCACTGAAACTAGAAAAAATAATCTTAATTTTTTAAAGGATCAATACAAAACTGTCACTGTTACACCACACTGAGCCACAGACACTAAAGCTCACCAACCACAGTTTTCAGGTCAAGCCCACCTTGAGGGGAATTCACAGAGGGGAGAAAATTCACTGGCAGGAAAAAAAGCCCCCAAAAGGCCTGGAAGGAGCACTCAGTAAACACACGGCCAAGGAAAAACGTGAGAAAGCAGGAGAGTGCAGAAAGAGAGACAAGGCATAGAAGGCAGAAGACACAGAAAGAGGCTCAAAGTCATAGGACAGTCAGAGGTACTGGCCCACATCTGTGCTAAGAAGAAAGGCCTACACCAGATGTGCCATCTGGCTGACAAAGTGGCCCCTTAGCTATAGGTGACAAGGGACCCCATGGATGGACATTGCAGGTGCAGGAGCAGGAAAAGCACAGGTCTAGGTGGGCTACCAGTGAGCAACCACCTCTAACTGCAGCTTCAGGGCCAGAAGGACGATCCAGCATCAGGACTCAAGGCCTCCCAACGCTGATCAGCAGAAAAATCTTTAAAAAGAAAAGGTCTTCTCTGCCAGTTCACATTTAATAGAGCTGGTGCTCAGCCACCAACATAATCAGATCAATGTGAGGTTTTCATGGTATCCCCAAGGCCTGCCAGCCTCCTATACTCAGTGCCCCAAATCCAAGCTCCCCCACAGCAGAGAATAGCACAGCAGCCCCAGCCCCATTTGCCACGTCTATTTCCTCATGGGTGAGGTAGAGGCGGTGACACCTAATGAAGAGGGGCCCAGAACCTGGCACTGTGTAATACCCAATAAATATCTCTGCATTTTATGGTTCGAAAATACTCAGGGGCTGGGGATTTAGCTCAGTGGTTCCACCACCTGCCTCGCAAGCGCAAGGTTCCAAGTTTGATCCCCAGTTAAAAAAAAAAAAAACCCCAAACCATCATTTCTCGAGCGGCCACACAGGTGTCCTTTTTCGGTCCTCTTTCACCTCAATCTCAGCAGCACCTGCACCTGCACATCAGCACACTAGAGTCCCCTGTTGGGATGCACCTCAGTCCAGGAGGCACAGGGAAGCTGACCCATGAAGAGGAGTTTCAACATGCAATGCCCACTTGTCTTACCTGTCGTAAGCTTCCTTGAGGTCTCTGGCCAGCTTGCATTTGGGCAGGATGTGATGGAATGGAGACTGAGGACCTTCATTTGCTGTAAGAATCACAACACAGAAGAATTTAGAACTTCCAAAGCAAAGAAACCTTCAAAGGCTAGGATAGGGAATACCTTTAAAACAAATTCAACCTCAAGCATTTTGAATAACTCAAACTAAGCATCAGGAAACTCCCTATTCCTTTTTATAAAAGCTATGCACTGCCAAGTGTGATGGCACATGCCTGTAATCCCAGCATTCTGGGAGGATCCCATTTTCTAGGCTAGCCTGGGCAACTTGGGGAGTCTCTGTCTCAAACATTATAAAATAGGTATGTGCCACCACACCTGGCAGAGGTGTTCTTTTTAATTTGTGCGTGACAATTGCTGGCTTTATTTTTTACTTTGGCTACAAAGACTAGGTCTGACTTCAGTTGTGTTCTCCCTTCTGTATGGAGCTGCTAACTTCAGGAAAAGATGGTAGAGTCATCAGTGTCGTTCCATGCTAAAGCACCTTCAAGTATCCTAGAAGTTACATAGTTATCTATCAGCAAAATTATTATTATTATTATTTTTTTTTTTTTTTGGTACCGGGGATCGAACTTGGGTCCTTGTGCTTGCAAGGCAGCGGATGAAACCACTGAGCTAAATCTCCGGCCCAGCAAAATTATTTTTATAATTGATTAGTTGATAACTCAGGTAGGTCCTCTTTCTTTCTTTTTTTGGTTTTGGTACCAGGGATCGAACTCGGGACCTTGCGCTTGCGAGGCAGACAGTGGAACCACTGAGCTAAATCCCCGGCCCAGGTAGTTCCTCTTTCAATGTGGTTAAAAGTAAAGAATGGAAAAAAAAAAAAAAGTAAAGAATGGAAACTACCTGCCTTACCAACTGGATGTTCCTCCCACCCCAGGGCAAGTTATCTAGTGGGCCCATGGCCAAGCAGAGATGCCTGTCTTACATGAAGGGTGATCATACAGCAGTATGTGGGGAAGAAGTATTCCCACTGGAAAATCAATGTAGGCACATCTACTCAGAAACATGGATCAACATGGGGCCTTTTGGAAGTCTTCCTATGCCTCCAGGGCATAATCAGCCCAGTATGAGGACCATGTTACTTCTCTGGGTTGTTGTTCTCGTATCTGCAAAATGGGGACAGTCCTTGTCTTACAAAGCTGTATTGAGGAGTTCCTCTCTAACACACAGTGCACCAAAGCTATTGTTACCTTCTCACTGCTTTATTGGTGTGGGGTGGGAGAGTTCCCACCAATATCTCCACAGCTGACACTGACCAGCAGCCCCTCTGGAAATGTCCACAATAAAGAGGCCATCAGCCAGTTCAGACCCATGATCATGCCTGTTACACTCACCTTCAGCCATAGCAGATACCTCATCCTGAAGTGCAAGGATCAACTTGGCCTCTCGGGTGAGGTACTGGCAGCGGCGCTCCTCATGCTGCAGCACAGTGGCAATGCGTCGGGATAGGTTATGTAGACAGTTTATCACAGATGGGTCAGCATTGGCCTGCAGGAGACAGGCCATGCTAACTGAAATGTGCATATTGGGACAGTTTAAAAGGAGGTAATGCATATGAATACCAGAAACTTAAACCACAAAAGAAAACTCCACTCCTCTTCCCTAGGCTGCTCTCCAGGGGCCACTACTGTCCAAGATTTCCTATGGCCCCTTCAGAGTCCATCCGTAGAAATGCTGCCTATCAGCCCCCATCTTCTATTCATGGGAATGGCTGCACAGACATGGTCCTATGGGGGTTACTGTGGGGGGACATATCTCCATTGTGGCAGGTCTGTAGGGAAAAGCAGGGGGCAGCACAGAACACAGATTTCACTATCAACCTGCTATGTGATCCCGGGTCACAGGTTCTTATCTAAAGAAGGGAGAGCAATGGCTCTGTCCTCATCGATGACTGAGTAGGTAAAATTAGTAAGACATGTAAAGCACTAAGGATAGAGTCTGTCCTAAACAAAACCCTGCAAGTGTCTATGATCATGGCTGTACTACTGACTGTTGGTAAACATAAATAGCTTGACAGTTAAGAATTCAGTCACAAGAGGGCACACAATAACAGAGCACACAGTAAAATAACAGAAACACTACTCTAGTTGTCCACTGAATATGTTCTTTTTTTTTTGGTACCAGGGATTGAACTCAGGTCCTTGCACTTGTGCTGCAGGTGGTGAAACCACTGAGCTAAATCCCCAGCCCATTCACTGAATATGTTCTGTCCTCGAGGATGAGAAGCTCTGGCCAGAAATGATGCTAGTTAACAAGAGAACCGGAAGGCTCTGGGCCCATATTCCCACTCCAGTGCTCTTCTGTACTAGGTCATGGGAGGATTTAGGAGGCTCTCAGGAACAGGAGGCCCCCTGAAACCTATCAGAGGCCACAACTGGTAAGGTAGGTGTATCCACCCAGGCCAAGGGTGGAGTGTGGGATCTGTGCAGATACTTGAAGGAGCAGATACCTGAGCCACCCATGACTCAGTGTTTCTTCAGAGGCCAAGAGGGCTGCTGAGTCATCCCATGGGGTGGGGGGTGGGGGGAGGGAAAACTGGTGGCAACGATTAGAACCTCTGGGCCTGCCTCCCCTGTTTCTTTGTTAGGCAGGGCCATGCCTGATGAGTGTTCATAATCAGACTTCAGGATGAAAACCTTACCTAGCCATTAAACACTTTGTTCACCTGGAGTTGGAGATTTTCTACACTCTCAACAGATCCCATGTTCACAGACAACTTGCATCTAGGTAGTCCAGCAACAAGGCACCATGTCCTGGCCCTTCATGTCTATGGCAACCCTTTAACAGTACCCCTGGAACTGGAGGATCCATTTACAGGGTACATGCAATAGCCTCAAAACAAAATACACAGTCAGAAGAATCTATGTAAAAATACTTTTACCAACAAGGCAAGGAGAAAGACACCTGAGAGCCAGCCCTCTACCTGAGGTGCCACCAGCTGAGGCAGAATAGCAACCCTACATTGGATGTCTGAGGCCCATTCACTTGACTTTCCTGAGTATGTGCAAGGTGGTCTTGCCCCAGCTGAGGCTCAATGATTTGCACTGATGAGTGTCTTGGTATGCCCTATTCACACAGGCCTGACACCCAGTGAGGTGCTACAGAGCCCAAGGACCAGCAGCAACACAGAAGTACCACTGAAGTCTATGGCATCATTGTCCATTAGATTTCCTCATCCCCAAACCCAAACCTAACCAGGCTTTCAACATTAACTTCTAGTTCACAGGAAGTACTGAGGCAGACAGCAAGTCTGACGGTCTGCACAATGAGAAGAGACCAAAAGTGGAACACGTAACAGGACAAGAGAGGGAGAGCTCTAGATTGGCAGAGAAACAGACATCGCATGTACTTTTCAGTTGGGTTTATTTCCTGGTTCAGACACACAAGAAAAATGTTTCTGTAATTAGAAAAGTTTCAATGGATCAGCTACAACTAATACCAACTTTTGGTGAGTTTTGTCATATGTGAAAAGGGTATCATGACATAAAATAAATGTCTGTAGCTTCTAGAGATGGCTTTGAAATATCCTGGAATGAAGAAACATGAGGTCTGGGACTTATCTTGAAATACAAAGTGAGAAGAAACAGATGGAACCAAAGGGGAAAAGCAATAGCTCTGGGTCCCCAGAGATGGGTGCCATGATGTTTGTCATACTATTCTTTATAGTTAAGGGTTTTTAAAAAAACTTTCAAAGTAAAAAAAAAAAAATTTACATTTTTAGCTGACTACTGAAAAGGAGAAAGAAAACCTGTCTGCTCTAAAATACCAACTCTACAATACTTAACCTTTTCCCCATTATTCAAAATCACAGCCTGCTAAGTCCTATGCTATCCTGATCTCTATGCATCTATGTTCCTGAACCCTATTGCATTTTTTTTTTCCTCCAGTATTAGGGATTGAGCCTAGGGGCTTCGCATGGAGCTACAACTCCAGCCAGTTTTTTGGTTTTTTTATTTTTGTTTTTTTTGGTACTGGGGATCAAACTCAGGACCTTGCACTTGCGAGGCAGGCAGCAGAACCACTAAGCTAAATCCCCGGCCCAAGCCTGTTTGTATGTATGTATGTATGTATGTATGTATTTACTTACTTATTTACTTATTTATTTATTCATTCATTCATTCATGTATTTGAGACAGGGTCTCACTAAGTTGCTCAATTGTCCAGGCTGAGCTGGGTGTAGTGGTGCACACCTCTAATCCCAGTATGTGGGAGGCTGAAGTAGGTAGATCACCACGAGTTTGAGACCAGCCTGGGCTACAAAGTGACTTCAAAGCCAGCCTGAACTACATAGTGAGACTCTGCCTTTAAAAAAGTCAAAATTAAAAAGTAAAAATTAAAAGTTGCCCAACCTGGGCTCAAACTTGTGATCCTCCTGCCTCAGCCTTCCAGAGTGCTGGGATTACAGGCTTGTGCTACCATGCTCAGCTTCCCTGCTGCTTTTATGTGGCATTCATTAATCGATCTATACTTTTCAAAGTTCTGGCCTTGCCCACATTTTTCATCTTTCATAGCCATAGGGCAAGGCAGTGTAGAGTAATAACCAGTGTTTAATCACTCCCAACTACAAAATTATTTCTAACTTAATTATTATAAAAATTCCCATACAATTTTAAGTGCTGCTTGCTTTCTAGTCCTAATGGCAGGACTGCTGGTCTAAGTGCATTGTATGTTCAGCTGTCAAATGCTGCTCCTCACAGAGAAGCACCAGCCTGTGCAGTCCCAGGGCAAACAAAGGCTGCAACTCACTATCACCCCACAGGAGTTAGTGGTGTTGACAAGTGGACTGCATTTAACATAGTTTTTGTTTATTCACTTGCATGGTTTTTGGGTTTGTTTTTGTTTTACTTTCTCTTTGTAGCTCCCTGTATTATGCAATTTATGTAAGAAATATAAGGATACTGTTAAAATAACAACACTGTGGAAAAGGTGCAAGCAGAAAATGAAGACTGACTTCTGGAACCTCTTGCCTGGGACAGTCACTGTTAATACATCATTTTTATTTTGTTTTGTGGTGCTGAGGATCAACCTGCTGGCCATGCACGTGCTAAGCAAGTACTTTAGCCCGGAGCTATACTCTCAGCCCATTTTGGAGGTTTTTCCCCAGCGAGGGGAATAGAACCCCAGGCCTTAAGCATGCTAGGTAAGTGCTCCACCACTGAGCTACACCCTCAGCCCTGAAAAATCATTTTGTTTTAATCTGCAGTTCTTTACTTATCAAAAAGGTAATCCAATTTTAAGAAATTAAGCTCTATTTAAAAGGACCTTTTCAGGCCAGGGTTTTAGCTCAGTGATTTTGCCGTCTGCTGTGCAAGCGTAAGGACCCCAGTTCGATCCCTGGTACCAAAAACAAAACAAAACAAACAAAAAAGGGCCTTTTCTGTATCATTCTGATTTGAACAATTTACAGTGAGATCTGCACCTCCACACCAAGTAAGCCTTAATAGAAAACTTTGAGACACAGAATGGCATCTAATTGAGGTTTCCTTTCTCTGAGTGTTTTCACAGCACACACTGCTCCTTGTCCCCACAATCCAGTGATTTCTTGTTACTTTTCTTGGTTGTTTTTTGGTACAGGGGATCAAACTTGGGACCTTGCACTTGCAAGGCAGGCGGTGGAACCACTTCTTGTTTTTTTTTCTTTAAACCTCAACACTGAGGTTTCAGTTTTGTAAAAACAATTCATACATTAACATCTTTTGGGGGCTGGGGATTTAGCTCAGTGGTTCTGCCACCTGCCCTGAAAGCACAAGGACCTGAGTTCGATCCCTAGTACCAAAAAAAAAAAATCTTTTGTCTTAAAAGAAAAACACAATAACACACATGCCATAGGTTTGCCACCTTGTTGTTACTTTCTGTGCTTAAGGTGCTATGCAGATCATGTGTGCCTGGCTAGAGTTACTAGTGTCTTGGCTGAAAATTTGATAGTGGGATATTTCAGAGGAAGTTCATCATTTAACAAAATATAAAATTCCTTGGTATTTCAAAGTCCCTTCATAATACAAGCCAGTCTTTACCCACAGGTACTTTTTTTTTTTTTTTTTTGGTACCGGGGATTGATCTCGGGTCCTTGCGCCTGCACAACGGGTGGCGAAACCATTGAGCCAAAGCCCCGGCCCTACAGGTACATTTTTATTGATTTAGATCCCTTATATTTCAACAGGTTTATTGAAAATGCATTTCCTGTTATTCATGAAAACAATTTCAGAGCTACAAACTGCCTTAAGAAACAACTAGGCTTAGGACTGGGCATTTAGCTCAGTGGTGCCGCCACCTGCCTCACAAGCAGAAGGTCCCGAGTTCAATCCCTGGTACAAAAAAAAAAAAAGAAAGAAAGAAATAACTAAGCTTAAAATAGGACACATGTGTAAATACCAAACAGTTTCTCTGGTATGAGAAACAGAAACTGTAAATAAGGATTAAAATGAATAACTGATAATGTGAAATAGGAAGAAAACGTCCAAAGGGGTAGGGGAAGTGGGAGAGGTAGGGGAAAGGAAAGAAAAAAATATGAGATAAGAAATAAATGGAAACAAAGCCTTCGCAAATAGAGAGGGGTGGACGGGTTGAAAGGAGGGCAGGGGAATGGGGAAAAAATAAGAACCAACATACATCATGTAAAGGTACAAGTTCCCAATATGAATGTAAATGTATTGTATACCTAAAATGTACCAATAAAAGAATTTAAGAGGGGAAAAAAATAGGCTTAATAAAAAAATGGAAAAGAATAAGTACTGATGATGTGTAGAAACTAGAGTACTCATCCATTGTGATGAGAATATAAAACAGTACAGCTATTATGCAAACAGTTTGAAAGTTTCTCAAAAGGTTAAACAGAGTTATGAGATGACATGAAATTTCACTGAGTCTGTATCCAAGAGACATGAAAACATGTGTCCACATAAAAACTTGTCCCTAGAACCAAAAAAAAAAAAACACTTGTACGCAAATTCTGTAGCATCATTATTCATAATAGCCAAAATATAGAAACAATCCAAAAGTCCATCAACAGATGAATGAATAAAAAACTTACGGTCTACCCATACAACGGAATATTATGTGGCCATAAAAAGGAGCTCTCAATACATGTTACAATGTGGATTAGCCTCAAAAACTTCCTAAGTGAAAGACGCCAGATGCCAAAGGTCAGGTACTATACAATCCCATTTATATGAAACATGCAGAATAAATGCACAGAGACAGAAAACAGACTGGTGGATTCCAGGGGCTGGAGGGGAAAGGAAAGTGGGAAATAACTGTTGGTGGACTGATGGGTGCAGAAGTTTCTCTTTAGAATGGTGAAAATATTCTGGATCTACAGAATAGTGATATGTGAGAAGATGTGTGATAGGTGGTGAGACAGGGTGGAACATATCACAAATGTACCAGATGCTACTAAACTATACAATTTAAAATGTTAAATCCTGTTAGATGTATTAAAATAAAGAGGGAGGCGGGCATGGTGAGGCACACTTGTAATCCCAGCACTCTGGAAGGCTAAAACAGGAAGATCTTATGTTTGTGCCCAACCTGGGCAACTTAGTGAGATCCTATCTGAAAGTTTAAAAAGGGCTAGCTGGGGCTATAGTTCAGTGCAAAGGCCTTGGGTTCAATTCCCAATACCATACACACACAAAAATTAAAGATAAAGTAAAAATATAAAAAAGGGGAAAATGAGATCGACTCTGCCTGCATAGCAGGGAAGACAAGTGTCATATCCCAGCAGCCTGAGTTAAGTCAATGACAGATTCACTGGAAATGGGCTCCTTTTCCTTCCAACCCTCCTCCCTTATTGAAGCCATTTATACAATACTCACCTTCAGTGCAAATACCACATTAAAAAGAATCATGGTAGGTGCTTCCCTCTTTGGGGATGGATCTGTTTTAGAGACCTGTAAAAGAAGCATTGATTATAATAATTTGAGAGCCATGACTTTCAAGAAAAGCTGTTTAATGCCATGTACTTCAAGCATTGAGAAAGGCCCCAGAGTAGAGCAGAACCACAGAAAAACAGCCCAGGGTCTTTTTTTTTTTGGTACCGGGGATTGAACTCAGGACCTTGCACTTGGGAGGCAGGCAGCAGAACCACTGAGCTAAATCCCCAGCCCAGCCCAGGGTCTTTGAGAAGTGATTGGCATTTACTCTAGATGTCCCCACTACACAAACAGATGGGTCACAGCTGTGACAGGAGTGGGAAGGTAGGGGCTCTGACTTCCTGGTCAATGAAGGTAAGGTGACAGTACCCAGAGAAGGCAGGGGGCAGAGCAGCTCAAGTGGATGAAAGACCAGACCCACACTCTGCTGGTATCCCCAGTGCCCACCTGTGTCTACACTAGTTGTCTCTGCCAAGCATAAGTACTCAGACCATTTAGAAATAGGGCAGTGTTCAGGGTCAACAAGGGCCTAAGCAGGATCTGTGAGACAGGGCATATAGCCTCACTTCAGAACCTAATTCTTTTGTTTTGTTTTTGATACTGGGGATCAAACTCAGGACCTTGCGGTTATAAGGTAGGCAGCAGAACCACTGAGCTAAATCCTCTCCCCTCCAGAACCTAATTCTTATCTCAGCTCTTAGCTTGGCACCCAGCAAAACCCCAAAGCCCTAAAATGTAGCTGAGGAGCACAACAGAACACTTCAAAGCCAATTACAAGTGTCATCACTAGGTGGAGTCAGAGCATCAGGCCCCAGTTCTCTTGCCTGCACACCCCCAGAGTGACTGCTGCAGGCTGGTTTCCAACTCTCCTGTCCCTCACCCACAGACAAGGCAGCCCTATCTGTGTAAACATCGTGAGGAGGGAGGCTGCCATCCAAGAGGCTTGACATATCCAACTCCCACAGCTGCTCTTTCCATGGGCTTAATCACAGAGAAGGTTTACACATCATAGCACACACCATCACCCAATTTCTGGGTGGTATAAATGTAGCTAAATCCTATGTTATACCGAAACCCTTCAGAATCTGAGTAATGCTGTTACTGACCCTGCTCATGCACAAGGGCTAACGGGCAGGCTCTGTAATACAAGTTTCCTTGGAAACTTCATTCTGCCTTGCAGATAATCTTTCCCAGTACCTAACACTCATTCATCAGAGAACATACATAGAAGGTTTAGCACAATAATAAGTGCTAGGGCCAAGGATTTAGCTCAGTGGTTCTGCCACCTGCCTCACAAGTGCAAGGTCCTGAGTTCGATCCCCGGTACCAAAAAGAAACCAATAAGTGCTAGATAATAATGACTTGGCTATTAGAATATTAGTAAACAGAAATGCTTGCACCATTTTGTAGGAAGTTCTGGGTTTGACACATACAAGTTAACACATTCTCTTGGCCTCTCCTGGAAACCTACACCCTATATATAAAGGGAGGATCACAGTCCTTAGAGAGCCAGAATGCAAACAACAGAAGCTAACAGCAGGGGCTGGGGTTACAGCTCAGACCTAGAGTGGCGGGCCTCCCATACCCAAGGACCCAGGGTTCCACACTAGCACGGCATTTAAAAAAAAAAAAAAAGGCTGTTGCAGAGACTAAAGTAACTAGGTACAAAGACCAGTCTCTTTGACAAGACCCCAAGGACCATGAAGAGGCAGAGCTCATGGCAAGTGCCTGATCTGGTCTGCTGTCCAATGGCTTACTTGCCCAAAGCCAGTGACAGCACAGTTCGGAGGCCTCCAGAGCAAAATGGGTCAGGCTTGCCTGCCCAGAGAGAGCCCTACCTGCCCGAGAAGGTCCACACCTGCCAGGGAGGGCCATACCTGCCCCAGAGCATGCTGCAGCAGTGTCGGGTGTCCAACAAACCGCACATTATCGATCTTCAGTTCAAATTTTTGGCCACACATTTCAGACTTGGTTGCCAAAATTGTTGCCAGAATAGCATCTGAAAACCTTCAAATGAAAAAAAGGTAGGATGGAAATAAGTTAACAAAGTGTCACTACACTACTCCCCAGTACCTCCAGAGAGGAAGGTCTCAGTAAATGGCAGTTCTGCAGTTCTGCCCCCAGCACTAAAGGACATTTCCAAGGCCTCCAGAAATGTGGCACTCTTGCAGCAACCTCAAGGTTAGGGATGTAAAAATCACCAGAATTGTAGGTAAAAGGCACGAGAAGCACAGGCTGAAGGCACATGCTGTCATTGTTGCATGCTCGATGAAATTAGGAAAGAAACAGCTGCAGTTTGCATTTAAAAGGAGGATTGGCTGGAGCTGGCACTGCCCTGAGAAGCCACTCATTAAGGCTCATAGGCAGAGGGGCCTCTCCTAACTGTACTTGTGTTTGCTGGACTACACCCTGTCCATCACACAGCCTCTCCCCAACAGTGCCATATAAAGGACCAAGGATAGCACTCAGATGTGTGCAGTGTGCTACTTTCCTCAGCATAGGTGCTAGCCCTTTCCTTACCCTGAACAACCTTTCCAGTTTGTATTAAGAAAGGAACTCTGTAAGATATGTAGACCCACTGTGTTACATAAGTGCAAGGATACCTAGAACTGCCTACCATTAGGAAGTGGTAACAGCTGGGTGTGGGTGAGACCTCACCCTTTCCAAGATGCGTCCATACATTTCCCTCCCTACTGGCACCCCAGATCCCTCCTGCCTGGGGGATCCAGATAAGGGAGAGCCACCTGCAGGGAGAAGCATACTAGCATGTGGCTGCCTCTTATCTCAGACCCCAGGGCCTGAAGCCCTCTCCTCCAGAAGCAGCACAGGTAAACTGGACACACAGTTTCTGATCTGGACCTAGAAGGGAGAGAACCCCCATCTCATCTAGCCACCAGGAAAAGCATTTCTAATATCCGGCAGCTCCAGCTTTCCCAGGGCCATATTGCGCCCAATGGGCAGGAAGAACCCCCATAGTACTGAAAGAGACCACTGGGGACAGATATTCCAATGTTCATTCTTGGTCATGCTTCTCTCCTGGAGGTCTTCTTAGTGGGGAGAGATGAACATTAACAACATAACTCCTCTGTTTTATGATGAAAAAAGGAAGGCCAGCTTCAAAGCTGCCACAGCTCAACTTTGTAATGGCAAGTGACTCTGAGATAAAACACATGTAGGAGGGGGCATTTAGTTCAGGAAACCCTGAGCCCCAAAACAAACCAGATCCAGAGGGCTGGTCAGAGAAGGCTGCCTTGTCTCTTGACCAGCAGGTAAGTCTAACCTTCCAAAACTAATCTTGTCAGAGACAAATCTGGGACATGTGGGACCCATGGCTGAGTCTTTCATTCTCCTTCCCTGGAATACTCATCTCTAGAGTGATTAAACCAGACACAGAAGATTCCGGTGTCTCAGACCAAAGGCACCATAGGTTTTCTTCATACACTACACATGGCTCATTCTGCCCTGTAAGTCCTGCCTGAGGGACACAGGGATGTGGAAAGAGGTTCCAGGCAGTAAAACTTTACCAAACATTCCTGTTCTAGCAACTGACCCAGTGCAAAATTTCATGTCTTATCTAAAAAACAAAACAAAACAAAACACCTTCCACTCTCCACCCAGTGATTCAGGATGAGATAGCAGACAAAAAATCTCCACCACTCCAGAAAGCTCACTTGCTGTGATAGCCAAAAAACAGCTGCTCTGTCTTGAAGACCCACAGACATCTCACCCTGGTGGCCCTTGGGCACCAACTTAGGGACCCAAGTTACTATGGCTATGGGATGGGTCCTGAGAGTTTCAGAGACAAGCATTAGAAGCCCAGCTTACATCTATAAATGCCTTAATTCCAATGTGCCCCTGTGACAGTCAAATAAAAAGCTCTTTCCCCCTTAAAGGCTAGAGTCCAAAGAATGAGTAAACTGAAAAGTGCTGTTAAAGTTAAAAGTTACACTGCCTTAATTGGCCATCCAGGAAGGCCCTTCTGGGGTAGCCAGCAGGGTGGAGCTGGTCACTCAGCTTACTGAGCAAATCTGCCTCATAAAGAAATCCACTTGCCATAATTTAGTATTACACATTTATGATGAAAAGATGCTTGTGTGTAAAATTTACACAGTGAAAAATAAATAAATAAATAAAATAAATAAAATTTACACAGTGCCTGTTGACATGACACACAAAAAGAGTTACATCATGAGATTGGGGGAGGGGCATAACTTAATCATAACAAATCAAACTATAAACAAGTGATGATATTTATTTGTTTCCAAAATTTTTTTAAATCCTTTTTTTTTTTTTTTTTGAGGCAAGGTCTCGCTTTGTAGTTCAGGCTAGCCCTGAACTCACTATGTAGCCCACACTGGCCTCGAACTTCCAGTGATCCTCCTGCCTCAGCTCCCAAGTGCTGGGATTACAGGCATGTGCCACCACGCCTGGCTCTACAAAATCCTTTTGATAGAGAGTCTGGTAAACATACTGTAACATAATAAAACAGATGTTACAAAAACTAAAGATTTCTGGACTAATTTAGAAATTCAAGAAAAGCACAGGGAAATGTAACTGCCCAGCTGGAAAACAGGCCAGGACTTCTATTCTTGCCGAGATATTCTGGAGTAGGGCTTGTTCTCTAGCTTAGCCAAAAAAATGAAGGAAGACAGAGTCTGCAAGAGAACTTGATGCTGTTCCCCCTACCTGCCTCCTTCCTTGGAGCTCATGAATGCTGTGCGTACCTCCAAGGCCCAAAGGGGATGCACTAGGGTGGAGATGGGGATCCTACCTCATCCATGCTTTTCTATATAAGCACCATATCTACTCCAGAACATTTTTTGCCACTAGTGGGTATACCCAACACATCTAAGCCTAAGCATCACACTTAAAACTCAAACCTTGGGAAAGATCCCCACCAAATCCCTTTGAAAACTGAACAAGGAGCCTTAATCACAGGTCTCAGTGTGGCAGTGGGACAGAGATGAGAAACCTCATTCCTGCTTTCTTACCACCCCTATGACTATTGGCTCTGACTTGGGAGGAGGAAATTTACATGGCATATTTGGGCCAGAAGTCTCTCTGGTGCTAGTCAATCAAGCCTTGGCCTTTTGGGTGCTGTGAAACAGCTAAATAACTCTGGGTGGAGAAAGGGCAAGGGCCATGGCCAAGTCTGGATTCTTATAAGGGGACTGGGGCAGTGAGGTCCAAGGTAGGGCCTATGTGCCTCGTTAGTCATTCTTCAGTATTGAGGGAAATCAGGAATTAAGCACAATTATAAGAAAAGAAGGCAGCCAGAATCAAGACAGAAAGATGGTGGAGAGGTCTCAGTCTTACCCTGCAACCAACTGCTCATCGGTTGGAGGACATGGCTCGCTGAAATGGTAACAGGACCATCAAGACCAAACAAAAATGTTGTTTTTAAAAAAAACTATGAAAAGCTACAATGTTGTTTTATAAAAACAGTATTAAAGTCTAGCAGAAGTATCTTCATTAAGCGTTACCTAAGTGTTAAAGCCAGTAACTTACCAGACAAGAAAGAAGATGCAGACATTCGCCATGATGAATACTTAGCACAGAGTTCCCCAATGCTCAAATTCTCACATATATATGTGATAGGAGGGAACAAGATAATTTTCAAAAGCAACCACAACACTGGAAAATGTAGATCAAACCCAAGAGGCATAAAAATTCACTGGACACCTGGGTACAAGTAGCTAATCATTCCCAGAATAGGTCTCTCATCTGTATGATAAGAATTCATCTGCACAGGACCAAATAAGAGCCTCATAGTTTAAAAAAGCCTTCTGAAAACTGTAGTGCCACCTGAATTTATCAGCTCAGTTCCTAAGATACTGTGATTGCCTGCATGACTGATCTCTCTGGCCCTCTGCCTGGAGCAATAAGGGAGTCATGACAGATCTGCATACAATTACGTTGAAAAACATCTAGGACACTATCAGACTTGAAGAAAGAGTTTAAGATCTAGTTTATGTTCCTGTGCAGACATTTTTATTGTGAGACATGTTTCTTTCCAAGTATCCTGAAAACAGAAAGGAAATTCAAACACGGGAGAGAAACAACATGGGAGCCCTGCCATGACCACTGTGCCATACTGCTCCATTGTGCCACAGGCTGCTGCTGCTCCCCATAGCTCTCACTAAGGGCCCCACGCAAAAGAAATATACAAAAAGGCACCTTTTCCTCAGAAGCTCCTAAACTTTCACTCATTGGATATTAAAAAGTTAAGTGTTTTGTGGACTTGTTCCAAATCACCCAGAAAGTCAAAATCCTAGAATCCTAGTTTTTATTTCCACAACTAGACAAGTCAGAATGCAACCTCTTTACTTCCAAAGAGAAATGAGCAAACACACAAGACTTCTAAGTGTCAGCAATGTTCCATTTTCTGGTAGGGAGTCTACCCCTCTGAGGGAGGCAGGGCCATCATCACTCATGGAAATGTGGGTGTTTCTATGACAGCCAGATCTGGGAGCCAGTGGGGAGGTAACTCCCCACCTTCAGCAACCTTATGGAAAACAGGGAAACTAAGGACCAAATCAAGGAACAAACCAAGTGCTCACATGGTAGGATGCAGAGCAGGAGTCAAACCTGGAACCCTGAGCCTGCACTTGTCTCAATATGCTGTCCTTCAGTGTGGACATACTGGCTAGGCGGGGAAAAAGGTGGGAATGCCCAAGTCGGGTAAAACACTGCCAGTCTACTTTCTTCATGTATCAACCTCAGCTAAAGGAAGGAGAGGACATGTTCTAATATATTTAGAGGGTATTGGGCTCTAAACATGCTGGTAGAGGTAAAGCAGTTAAGAGCCTGGTAGAGTCAGGTGTGCCAGATGGGAGGAGAACCAGAGTGTTGGGCTTGACTGGCCAAAGACACCATGTGGGCTAGGGCACAACTGTACCTACAAGCTCAACCCACTGCTACAGGAAACATGACCAGACTTGAAGCTCTACAGCCCACACAATGGCATCCACAAGTTACAGGGTCTAGATGGAACCTATTAGAGCTCTGGAAAGGTCTTCCAGATTGTGTCTAAACTACAGTAAGTTCAGAACATTTTGGCACTAAAAGAGCAACTCTTCTCCAAAGTCTCTAGCTCCCCTCCTCTGAGGCAGTGGCCAGGTGGCTGCTCATAATCTTGGAGAGAGACAGAAGAAAGCTACCCATGCTGGGATATAACCACACAAGCTTTTCGTATTAACAGCAGGTGTTACAGTTTTTATCCAAAGCCTCATGCATTCATAGGTGGGGAGTTTCAAAGGTGGCTGGATTAGGGTGTGATGCTGGGACTAAGGGTGTGATACTGAGATTAAGGGAAGGATAATGGAAGCCCCACCCTGGGTGTAGGTGGCACCAAGCAACAGGCTTACAGCCTGGATGAAATATAAAGGGACAGAAAAGAAGGCTGCTGCTGCTTCTGCTTGTTGATTTGCTGTCTCTTCCCTGCCTGCCATGGACTATTTGTCCTCTATGATGCCCCTCTGCCACCCCACCTTGCCTTGGAGCCAACTGACTATGGATTGAAATCTCTATAAACTGTGAGCCAAAATAAACCTTTCCTCCTTTAACTCTGGGTGTTGGGTATTTTGTTTCAGCAACAAGAAAAGTAATTCAGACACCAGGCTTTCATGCAGACCATCGATTGATGGCTTCTGTGGGGTCCAGATGGTACATTTAAACACTCAACCAACAGGAACACTAGAAACTTTATGACTTTAAGTTTCAAGTCTTAGAGACACTGGACAATATCCATTTTCTCTTATCCTTACTGAATTTTAGAAAAGTCATTTTTAAAATGTGTAACAGTGAGCTCCAAACCCTCAAACACATGATGAGGGTACATCTGATAAAACCAGCTGACTTTCTGAACCAGTGCTGTCCAATAGAACTTTCTACAATGACAGAAAAATCCCAAATCTGCACACATGGGGCCGGGGATTTAGCTCAGTGGTTTGGCCGCCTGCTGTGCAAGTTCAAGGACCCGAGTTCAATCCCCAGTACCAAAACAAAAAAAAAACCCAAAAACCTCAAACACCAAATCTACACATTTAATGTGGTAGTCACTTGTCCCACATAGCCACAGATCCTGAAATGAGGGATGAGGGTACTGCAACTAAGGAGCTGGATTTTTTATTTTATTTAATTTCAGTGAATTTCTATGTAAATGGCCACACTGGCTTATGGCTACAAGACTGAGCAACACAGTCCTGTGTCCTCACTTCTTTAAGACAGGCCACCTCCACTCAAAGGTTAACAGTATTTCAACCTGGCAAACTGGTAAGCAGGAATATTCTGAGGGTTGCACAAAGAAAAGCATCTTAAGAGAATCTGAATCAAGGAAGACACAGGTTTGGTGATTACTGTCTTGCTTCAGAAAGATGTTCTGAGCTATATGACGGGGCAAAGCTGGGGTCTGCTAGACCCTTTGCAACAACAGAGCAGAGGGAAACTGGGATTCGAAAGGAATCAACCTGTATCTTGAAAATAGCGGACTGAACAGCAAGATCAACAGATGCTGTCATGTGTTATAGTTACCAAATGAAGCACTTCTTAAGTTTAATAAAAGAGATTCTAATGAGAAGCACTCCCCTCCCACAGTTTCCTCTCTTCATTATGTTAAATTCTAAACTAATTCACCAGAAACACGCATTTCATTATACATCTCTGGAAACTAACTGTGGAAACAGATCCTGCAGTCTCAATTGTTCCAAGAGCTCTAAGTCTTCGAACCCTGAGGCTCAAGTCCAGAGAAACTTGGTAGATGGCCAGCCCTGCTCCACACTATCTGTGGTAGAGAGGACAAGATGTATCTGTCCACTGTGCAGGGCAAAAACTTTCTATGTCCCTGTGACAAACAAGGTTGTTCCAAGGCACCACCTTTAAAGGACAAGACAACCACAGACGTATACATTAAGACCATCCCCCCCCCCC